GATTCCATACCTCGTTTGGTTGTATATATTGTTTCACTTTATGTATAAAGCACGCCCACCTGCCCGACTGCCTGCAGGTTTGCATGCACGTTTGTATGAATGCATTACTGTCTGTCTGCCTGCCTGTATGTCGTTATGTCTGTCTCCCTCACGCGTCGTACAACGACGCGCAATCACATCCTCTATTATCACGGGATTACATTCTAGTAATATGATACCACTGACAGTATATTTCCCTTCCTAAACGAAGCTGTGGCAAATTACACACACATACACGCGCGCGCGCAGACACACTCATAGACAAACAGAGAGGCACACAGACATAGATTCAGAAACACACACACACACACACTTCTCATAACCACAGACACTGACACAGATGCTACACAGATAAAGACACAGAGACACACACTTCACACAAATACAGACACAGACACACACACTCTTCACACAGATACATACACAAACACTTCACACAGACACAGACATACACACAAACACAAAAGCACACACTTAAACTCAGACACAGAAACACAAACACATTCCACACAAACACTCACGGCAACACACGCACTTCACACAGGCAGACACATGAACATACACATTTCACACAGACACAGACATACACATAAACACTAAAGTCACATACACGTACACTCAGACAAAGAAACACAAAAACACATTTCACACAAACAGACACGGAAACATACGCACTTCACACAGACAGACACATGAACATACACATACACTCAGACACAGAAACACACACATTTCACACAGAGACGGAAACACACACGCACTTCACACAGACAGACACATGAACACACATGCTTCACACAGACAGAGACAACACACTTCACACAGATAACGAAACACACACATTTCACACAGACAGACACAGAACACACGCGAAAATCACACAGGCAGATACTTGAAAGCAGGCACAGATGCAAACAGGCACAGAAATACAGACGCTTAACCAAGACACATAAACACACACACATTTCACACAGACATAGACACAGACACAGACAAACGTCATACACACACACATGGTTGCGTCAGGACATGGATAGACATTTATATTTAACATTGTAAGACGCTTCAATCGTGATCTGAACAACAACAACAACAACAACAACAACAACAATCCCAATTAAAAAGGTTTTCAACTCTGTCATGGTACAACAATCACAACAAAATGGCAACAACAACACTATTATTATACATTCTGTATCCAGGGGCTTGTTGATTCAAAAGGTTTTCCTCTGTCATGGTATCAACCATTCTGATCTTAATGACTTTTCCATGGCACCGACAGCAAAACTAATTACTCAAACTATGTATACATTCTGTATTACAGTTTTTAGTCAACTGACATTTTAGCTTCACTGTGTTATTATGCCCACAATGACTCTGGTTTGGTGTCAATCCATTCAACCGTAGATTAATGAAAGCTGTCATACAGCTGAATTATTGCTGAGTCAGGCGTTCAAAAAACAAACAAACAAACAAACAAACAAACAAACAAACAAACAAGCACATGTTCATACTATAGTCGGAATTGTACAATCGGCTCTCCTTTCAACAGATTTCTTATGGATGCGGAAAGGATTCTTTTCGCTTTTATTAAATGACGCTATACTGGTGTTAAAACATTAGATCATTTTACTAAACTTATTTAACTAAATATATTTGCTCACAGGCTACCTGTTTTATGCTATTTCGAAAGTTAAGGCAGACACGTGACACTGTGATACTCGCTGAGCTATATGGAAGGAGGTACTTTGATAATAACATGTTCATCCCTGAACCATCAAATAGGAATCGATGCAGTAGCACTTTGTTGGTCTATTCCTACCTGTCTGACAGATAGGATTATAGTAAGAGCGGAAATGTCAAAAAGTCATGAACTCATCAATGGCGTCGAGCAAGGTTCAGGCCTCGGCCCGATTTTGTTCCCGGTTTATGTATCCTATTTGTTAAATGCGTAGTACCCGTGAAGATCCGGGATAGAAATTGGTGTTCAGCAACTCATGCTTGTCGTAAGAGGCGACTAACGGGATCGGGTGGTCGGGCTCGCTGACTTGGTTGACAAATGTCACCGTATCCCAATTGCGTATCCCTCATGCTGTTGATCACTGGATTGTCTGATGTACAGAGGGCCGCCATATGGCTGGAAAATTGCTGAGTGCGGCATTAAAAACAAACAAACAAAAACAAAATGTATGGACAATTATACCATCACTCGCTAAACTTACACGCACGATAGCCAGTTACTTGGTCAGTTCAAATCTTCAGAAAGTTCAAGTTGCACATGCGAGCGAATGACAAAAGAATGACTGATAGCCCAAGTGCATCAGATAAACGAGACCCGTAAAGGCCCGGGTTAGAATATTGATCTTCAGTTACCCATGCTTGTCGTAAGAGACGACTAACGGGATCGGGTGGTCAGGTTCACTGACTTGGTCATCGGTTCCCAATTGTGCAGATCGATGCTCATCCAGTTGATCACTCGATTGTCTGGTCCAGACTCGATTATTTACAGACCGCCGCCATATAGCTGGAATATTGCTGTGTGCGGCGTAAACCAAACTCACTCACTCACTCACTCACTCAGATAAACGATGTGAAGGAATACGCCACTGTAGGTGGGATGAATCAGCAGCACAGCAAATTGACAGTAAGTGATGCTTATATCACCTGTGAAGAATATTTGAACCCAATCCTTGAATGCCACTACTGGTTCATACCCCACGAAAGTGGACACATACGCTATCAGATAACATCCGACTCTGTCCACATTCTGGTGCAGGCGAAGAGAATATTGTACGCACGCTTCAATCTCAAGGATGACCATGCTTTTCAGCGTCATTGTGTGGGGCACAGGTGGCCCAGTCGTCTAAGGCAGACCAATTAGCTGTGTCGAGTTGCATCCCTTGGGCATGCCAGACACCTCTGTAAATAGAAGCTAATAGAAGGATAATTATTGATGCTTTCCGCCCAAAACGTAGGCCCTGTTTTATGGAACTATATTTGTGCCACAGACACTTTTTAAATGTCCACGTACATGCTACTTCCCTCTACGTAAATGTGTTCCATGTTATCTACCAGTATCGATTATTGATAAAGCATAATTTCCTTGACTATTCGGCGATAGTTCGATGCTTTATGTAAACTTTGGCCTAGTTAATAATGACTGATCGTTTGACTTTCAAAATTGATGTGTCTTTATAGAGGTACTACATAAACATAATGTTATTCAAAAAGTTACTTGTAATCAAAATGTGTCACAAATGTGTTTGTTAAATGCATTTATTGGAGATATATTTCTCACCTTAATTCCAAATTTGAAATGAGGATAAAGAAATAAAGTAAATGAAGTTATACCCGTGAAGATCCGGTTAGAACTTGTCTTCAGCAACCCATGCTTGTTGTAGCTATAGTAGAAGTAGTAGAAGAAGTAGCAGCTATAGTAGAAATAGTTGAAGAAGTAGTTGGAGAAGTAGTAGCTATAGTAGAAGTAGTTGAAGAAGTAGCAGCTATAGTAGAAGTAGTTGGAGTAGTAGCTATAGTAGAAGTAGTTGGAGAAGTAGTAGTTATAGTAGAAGTAGTTGGAGAAGTAGCAGCTATAGTAGAAGTAGTTGGAGAAGTAGTAGCTATAGTAGAAGTAGTTGGAGAAGTAGCAGCTATAGTAGAAGTAGCTGAAGAAGTAGTAGCTATAGTAGAAATAGTCGGAGATAGCAGCTATAGTAGAGAGTAGTTGGAGTAGTAGCTATAGTAGAAGTAGTTGGAGAAGTAGCAGCTATAGTAGAAGTAGCTGAAGAAGTAGTAGTTATAGTAGAAGTAGTTGGATAAGTAGCAGCTATAGTAGAAGTAGTTGGAGAAGTAGTAGTTATAGTAGAAATAGTTGGAGAAGTAGCAGCTATAGTAGAAGTAGTTGAAGAAGTAGCAGCTATAGTAGAAGTAGTTGGAGAAGTAGCAGCTATAGTAGAAGTAGTTGGAGAGCTTAGCTATAGTAGAAGTAGTTGGAGAAGTAGTAGCTATAGTAGAAGTAGTTGAAGAAGTAGCAGCTATAGTAGAAGTAGTTGGAGAAGTAGTAGCTATAGTAGAAGTAGTTGGAGAAGTAGTAGTTATGGTAGAAGTAGTTGGAGAAGTAGCAGCTATAGTAGAAGTAGTTGGAGAAGTAGCAGCTATAGTAGAAGTAGTAGAAGAAGTAGCAGCTATAGTAGAAATAGTTGAAGAAGTAAAGTAGTAGCTATAGTAGAAGTAGTTGAAGAAGTAGCAGCAGCTATAGTAGAAGTAGTTGGAGAAGTAGTAGCTATAGTAGAAGTAGTTGGAGAAGTAGTAGTTATAGTAAGTAGTTGGAAGATACTAGCAGCTATAGTAGAAGTAGTTGGAGAAGTAGTAGCTATAAAGTAGAAAGTAGTTAAGAAGTAGCAGCTAAAGTAGAAGTAGCTGAGGAAGTAGTAGCTATAGTAGAAATAGTCAGGTACTTAGCTATAGTAGAAGTAGTTGGAGAAGTAGTAGCTATAGTAAAGTAGTTGGAGAAGCAGCTATATAGAAGAAGTAGCTGAAGAAGTAGTAGTTATAGTAGAAGTAGTTGGAGAGTAAAGCAGCTATAGTAGAAGTAGTTGAAGAAGTTTGCTGAGTGCGGCGTAAAAACTAAACTTCTTTTTACCTACTCACCAGACAAACGATGTGAAGGAATACGCCACTGTAGTTGATGAATCAGCAGCCCAGCAAATTGACAGTAAGTGATGCTTTATATCATCTGTGAAGAATATATATTTGAACCCAATCCGTGAATGCCACTACTGGTTCATACCCCACGAAAGTGGACACATACGATATCAGATAACATCCGACTCTGTCCATAATTCCGTTCAGGTGAAGAAAATATTGTACGCACGCTTCAACCCCCAAGTATGACCATGCTTTTCAGCGTCATTTTGAGGGCACAGGTGGCCCAATCGTCTAAAAGCAGTCCAATTAGCTAAATGAGCTATGTCCCTGGGCATGCTGTAGACACCTCTGTAAATAGAAGCTAATAGAAGGATAATTATTGATGCTTTAAAAGGTGTCCGCCCAAAACGTAGGCCCTGTTTTATGGAACTATATTTGTGCCATTATGACACTTTTTAATCCACGCACATGCTACTCCCCCACGTAAATGTGTTCCATGTTATCTAACAGTATCGATTTGATAAAGCATAATTTCCCTTTGACTAATCGGCGATAGTTCGATGCTTTATGTAAACTTCTAAAGCCACACAATGACTGGATCGTTTGGATCCCTTCAAATCCCTGATGTGTCTCTTATAGAGGCAAATTACATTAACATCCAAAAAAAGTTACTTGTAATTAAAATGTGTCAAAATCTCAGGTTTGTTAAATTTAATTTATTGGAGATACATTTCAATCTTTAAATTGAAATTTGAAACGAGAATAAAGAAAAGCAAATGGAACTATACCCAAAGATCCGGTTATAATTCTGTCTCAGCAACCCATGTGTGTTGTAAGATAGCGAATAAACGACCGGGCGGTCAGGGTCCGGGCTCCAGCCTATTGACACACAGTCATCGTGTCCCAATCATGCAGATCCTTGGCTTATATGAACACTGGACTGTCTGTTCCTAGGACCTCGATTGATTAACAGACATTAGCTGGAATCAGACAAGGATCCACAGTCCAGTGAGAATAGCCAAGGAAAAAAGGAAAAGAAGAAGGAACTGAGACAAGGAACTACAAGAACCAAGGAAGAAGCACAAGAATCCCAGAGACACACAAGGAACCTGAGAAGAAGAAGAAGGAAAAGAGAAGGAAAAAGGAAGAAGAAGCAGGAACAGGAACCACACACAAGGAAGAGGAAGAAGGACCCCAGCAGAAGGACACAAGAAGAAAAAAGAACCACAGTAGAAGGAAGAATAACTTAGTAGAAGAAGAAGGAAGAAAGAAGAAGAACTTAGTAGTAGTGAACCACAGGAACTACAGTAGTATACAAGGAACAGAAGCAGTAGAAGAAGGAACCAGAAAGACAGAAAGAAGAACCAGGAAGCCAGAGAAGGAAAATAACCCAGACACACACAGAAGGACCACAGGAACCCAGAAGACACACACAAGGAAGAAGAAGGAAAAAATAGAAGGAAATAGTAGAAGAAGAAAAAGAAAAGAAGAAATAGTAGAAGGAAGAAGGAAATATGGAAGTGAAGGAAATAAAGGAAGGAAGGAAGAAGCAGTAGTGAAAAATAGTGAAGAAAAGGCCAGTAGAAGGAAGGAAGAAAGGAAAGGAAGTAGCTGGTAGTAGAAGGAAGGAAAATCCATAGTGGAAAGGAAGGAAAGGAAGGAAGAAGGAAGGAAAGGAAGAAGGAAGAAATGGTGGAATAAATAAGAAGTAGCAGAAATAGCAGAAGCACAGCTGAAGAGGTACAGTAGAAGAAAGAAGAAGCTTATATAAATAGTAGTAGTGCAGTAGTAGTAGTAGTAGTAGTAGTAGTAGTAGTAGTGAGTAGTAGTAGTAGTAGTTGACAACCCAAAATTATAGAGAGATAGTAGAAGTTGAAGAAGAAGTATAAAGCAATAAGTATTAGTAGTAGTAAAATCACTAGCAATATAGTTAGTAGTGAAGTAGTATTATATAGTGGTAGCAGTAGTGGTCATGTAGTAGTAATTGTGGTAGTAGTAGTAGTAGTAGTGATAGTGGTGAGTGGCAGTAGTAGTGGTAGCAGTTGTAGTAGTAGTAGCAGTGATGAGTGGTAGTGGTGAGGTGAGTGAGTTTAGGTTTACGCCGCACACAGCAATATTCCAGCCATATGGCGGCGGTCTGTAAATAATCGAGTCTGACCAGATAATCCAGTGATCAACAGCATGAGCATCGATCTGCGCAACTGAGAACCGATGACATGTGTCAACCAGATCAGCGATTACTGACCACCCGATCCCGTTAGTCGCCTTTTACGACAAGCATAGTCGCCTTTTTGTGGCAAGCATGGGTTGCTGAAGACTTTATCCTACCCCGGGTCTTCACGGGTCAGTGTTAGTGTTAGTGTTAGTGGTAAAAATTTAGTAGTAGTATTGGTAGTAGTAGTGGTAGTAGTAGTAGTGGTAGTAGTAGTATTAGGTGGTAGTAATGTAGTAGTAATGGTGGTGTAGTGGTGGTAGTAGTATTGGTAGTAGTAGCATTAGCAGTAGTAGTAGTAGTAGTAGTATTGGTAGTAGTACTAGTAGTAGTTGTAGTAGTATTAGCACTAGCAGTAGTAGTAGTAGTAGTAGTAACAGGGCAGCAGCAGTCAGTAACTCGTGGTGTTAGTAATAACAGTGGACTACATAACGGTCATAGTGTAACGACCCTATGATGTCTGATATCTGTGTCTGAACTGGGCCATCGGGTCATGAAGAAACAGGCCCATTCATAAAACAGGTTAACCCACGCCATGTTGTTAGAAACAAACACAGCTACGACAGGACGATAGGCGCTAGTGAAGGTCAAGGCTTATCTGGCCTCCAACAAGTCGGTCCGCCAGCCCACACGAGTTTGAACCAGGTGCATCTAGCCGACGACCTTCAGTAACCACTAGCTACATGACCTTTAAAAGGAGAAAACATTTTCCACATCGAGTACTTGTTGGAAATAAGTTTAATTTGAATAAATTATCTAGTTTAGGGCAGCACATTTACAGCCATCAAGTATAGCTGTTGTGTAAAATCTATTTACCCACTGGTGTTAGAAAACATTATAGCACAATGGTACATTTAGATTGATTTGAATGAATTAAATGCACCATTAGGGAAGGAAAAGATATTAATCGAGTGTCAGCTAGAACGTACTTGATTTAATAGTATATGCGGTTCTTGCATTGATCTTTTCCAATCAAGTAGGGCTGACACTAACCGAATTGTGAGTAACGAACTGTTATAGGTATTTCACACGATTCTATCATCGCCATGCGTTGTCGTATCGGAAGTTCACAGTTACACGGAAATCTATCATAGTGAGTGAGTGAGAATGGTTTTACGATATGGTGTAAGACTAAACTCACACACTCATTTTCGGCAGGACAAGCCAACGCTTTAAACTAGGCTACCCCACCACCCCCAATTCTATCATACCATGTGGGGCGAGAAACACAGGTGACATACGGTGTTTGACTATATTAGACATATTTTACTTTGCAAAACAAAAAATATTGCAGCCAGCTCAATGTAAACATTACAAAACTGGGTTCATGAAAATGTTGAAATGAATACTGGTAACCATCTGTCCCTTCGTGAATATTGAGGGTGGTAGGGTAGCCTATGGCTAGGCCTAGTGGTTAAGCGTTCGCTCGTCACGCTGAAGACCCGGGCTCGATTCCCTACATGGGTACAATGTGTGAAAGCCAACTTCTGGTGTCCCCGCCGTGATATTGCTGGAATATTGCTAAAGGCAGCGTAAAACCATACTTACTAACTCACTCGTGAATATTGTGGCCATTAGTGTGACGTCAGAGATGATATTCATTAACCTTTGGATAAAACCTTCATAGTAGAAAGTATATTCCCATTCGGTCAAACAGTTTACTAACTGTAACGTGTCATAATTACTAAATGTTATCAACAATGACCAGAACTAAGTTAAAGGTATTCCGCATAAGATGGAATTGCATAACAATAACTTGAGATTATTTTTAATTAAATGGCATATACTGTCAGGGGACATTATGCATTATGTTGATACAATGTAAAGGGAAATGATAAATATGGTAGTTAAAATAGTGAAAATCCGAACCCGATGACAGTGTTTCATGTCCTAGAAATACATGACCTCTCTGAGATCTCACAGTTTGAAGATCGTTTCTTTATGCCCTGTCTCCGAAGATCCGAAGATTTCAACGGACGTCATAGGGCTCTTGTTAAATGTGGCCTTGAACAAGGCTTCAGTAAAGTTTCAACATCAGTATTGTGGCAGCAGACAAATGGAGGACATGTCAACATATGTCACATCAGTGACAAAATCATGTCTGATGTATTCCTTATCTTTTCACTTGTGCCCATATGGTCGTGTTTTTTAGGAGACCGACTGACCTTATGTATATGTGTTTGATACGTGTGCCACCGTAAGGGCAGGAAGAGGTCGTCTTTACGCGAACACATCAATCCAGTGATCAACAACATGAGCATCGATCTGCGCAATTGGGAACCGATGGCATGTGTCAACCAAGCGGATCCCGTTAGTCGCCTCTTACGGCAAGCATGGGACTACTACTACTACTATTACTACTACTACTACTACTATCTACTACTACTACTACCACTGCTACTACTACTACTACTGCTGCTACTACTACTGCTACTACTACTACTACTGCTACTGCTACTACTACTACTGCTGCTACTACTGCTACTTCTACTGCCTGCTACTACTACTGCTGGCTGCTACTACTGGCTGCTACTGCTACTGCTGCTGCTACTGCTGCTACTACTGCTGCTGCTGCTACTACTGGCTGCTGCTACTGCTGCTGCTACTGGCTGCTCTTACTCACTACTGCTACTGCTGCTGCTGCTACTACTACTACTACTGCTACTACTACTACTACTACTACTGCTACTAATTCCTACTGCTACTACTACTACTACTACTACTACTACTTCTACTACTGCTACTACTTCTTCAACTACTACTACTACTACTACTTCTTCTTCTTCTTCTTCTACTACTACTATTACTTCTACTACTGCTACTTCTACTACTGCCACTACACACAAACACAGACATAAACACAGACGCACATATAGACATACACATTTCTGAAAATCGTTCGTTGGTTGTTCACATATAGCTGTCCACAAACAATACCATGCCCATCTGCCGTGTCATGGACAGACCACGTGGAGATAACATCCAAGGGTATTGTAGTTGATCAAGGTCGTCGTAGTAGTTATCTAAGACAAACCCTTCACACATGACACTGTATGCACAACAGAACATTGTCTCTATCGCTCACGCCTTCCTCCATATTGTAAAGTGTCCATGTTGATTCATGTCATTATCCTATAGCCAGTTGAAGCGTGAAACCTTTCACCAAGTTTCAACACAATAATATTATTCAACATTTCTAAGAACAAAAAATGCATTGTGCGGTCCTAGTATAGTAATACCCTATTAAACAACTATCAATGATAAGAAGGTTTGTGTCAAAACACCACTTTAAACAGTATGTCATGTCACGTCATAAAACATGATTACCAGTCAATTGAAATCCATGGTCTGACAAACCTAGGCACAATTTAGGTCTAATCAGGATTCGATCACACGTTCATGGGTTCCTAGAGTGTCGAATAGAAAGGAGACAACTCTGAACAGTGAATTCCGGCTCCTTGTGGTCCACCAGTACCCACTGATGTTTAGGACTTTACACACACTGAAGTAAACTAAGTGTATGAGGATAAATGGAACCGACTTATACATTCTTGTGTGGAAATGATGTGTAGTCATATTGGCCTGCAAAACACAAGCACACACACACAGCCCCCTCAACAAACCCAACCAAATATTAGAACCCACACCCTCAGAATCAGGCACTTAATCGCCAGCACACAAAAGTCAGACGCCTAGACCGCTCAGCAACCGCGGCTTCCACAAAAATGGAAGTCGGACAACTGGTAGTCTAGACTGCAGACCTTGTGTACCCCTCTGTTGCCTGACTCTGAGGGTGTGGGTTCGAATCCCGGATGGGACTCAACCCAAAAAGTACTAGAATCTATACTTTACTGAGAAAGTGTAATCCCAAATATATGTTACATTTGACCACTTTCTAAAATGGCATTATGTATTTCACAGCTTTCGGCCGTGGGAGCCGTGCCAATTACCACTTATCAGAGGGGTACACAAGGTCCGCAGTCTGGACTACCAGTTGCCCGACTTCCATTTTTGTGTACTAGAATCTGTACATTACTGGGAAAGTGTAATTCCAATAATAACATATGTTCCGTAGTGAAACATTTGACAATCACTCCTTATAGCTTAACATTTAAGGAAAATTAAGAAACTATAACTTGATAAATACATAAAACATTTACTGATTAAATGTTCAGCTATAAGAAGTCATCATCCTTTCTCTTTTATCAAATGGTCAAAACCACGCACGGAGATGTCATAGTTGTCAAGGAGATGCATGTATGCATGGCTGGTTGGCTCTATGGATGAATGAATGGGTGGATTGGTAATTGGATGGATGGATGGATGGGTCGATGGGTGGATGCATGCGTGTATGTATATATTATCATATACATACTAAATGAGACACAAAGACAGACATCAGACAGTCATAACTTCACCCTTCCGATGTAAGTCTCATTTGTTTCACTTCTTTTAATGATATTGACCGTGAGTATGTCGTTAACGGACTGTTCGTGATTTCGCAGTGTAAACACATACAAGAAGAGCCCGTAAAGTGACCAGCCATGGCGAAAGAATTTTCTTGCTGGCAAACTAACAACACTCAGATACGTTTCTGAGATTGTCATTTCAAACCCCCAAACACGGTATTGTATAAACATACTGAGCAAGACTGAAAACTTGCCATTGGGATTTTTTAGACTTGGTTTTTAATATTAGGTTTAAGACATTAATTTTATAATAATTTTAATAATTTTAAATATTTTTTTAATTGCTGTGCACAGAACTTCTTGACGTCAAAGGAAAAATAACAAGTCTCGCCGAAGCCCTTTAACAACGATAACGTTTATGATGTCAAGGTACCTTCCAAAATGAAGTTAACAGTGTGGAGAACAATTCGATTGAGGTCTTCAGTAAGGGTTGTGGCCTCCTCTAGCGTCTCTTACAGACACACAACGTCTCCTCGTGGATCTTAGAACGTTAGTAAACACACCCAGAGGAAGACGTCGCCATTGCTTAACAAGGTCACGTTGAAGATCATGCAACGTCAGTGGTGGATTGATGCACTCTTATCCTAAGATTAAAACTTGTTTGTCATGAGCAATTAAAGGCTCTTGCAACAGCGACCACAGACTGACCAGCATCAAGCCTACCCATAGCACGTTGACGTTCTTGGTTTAATATGAAAAGTTTAACTTGTTTTTCCAGCTCACATTCAATGTGATTGTTCAGTTAAAGCAAACAGGCATCGAATGACCTCATAAATTTACAGTTTCGTGAAATTAAAGCATGCACACTGTTTGCTGCTATTTAATATACTCGGAAATTTATTTGATTAAACAGAAAACGAATAATGTCGAAATTTCTCAGTGTCAAATTATCAATTTTAAGAACTGTCTGATATGTTTTCAAAATTGGGTCGGACAAAAACCTTCGCCTGTGGAGCGCCCACTTTCAAATACAAGCATAGTCCTTCTCCCCAAAGCCTAGGTTGATGTTGGTTTGTACACCGAAATGTTAGTTATCGCACACAGTGTTGTGTGTTATCTATAGATTTCATACACACGTGAGTCAAATAACTGCTACACTGTCCCGAAATAACAACTATACCTGTTCCAATTTTTGGGCAATACAGCTGATAAACAAGATTAATCTATGCTTAGGCTATTCTCAGTATTCATTATATACACATGGAAAGAAGTATCGCAACACCTATGAGTTTTACCCCTATATGGCCATGTCATATTCACTTCATAAAATTTGTTTGTTCGTATGATTAATTTGACCCTTCGGTCACAGCATACATCGAGTTTTGATATGAGCATCACATGCAAAACGTGTACCCGTCATTTGCAAATATCATTATAGTGTACTCACAGGTCGATAACTTGGAAAATGACATGATTTCTTAGTTGATTAGCAAATATAATACCTTGCCTCCTCAATTGACAACTTAAAGATGGCATATTGTTGGTATGCAGAATGCTGGCATATCATTGAGGGTTATTGCAAGAAGATTTTGATTGTCATCCATCGTTTATTAGCCGACTGGCCAGAAATCAATGGGGGGACCGTCAGCGTTAAGGTTGAAGCTCCTAGGGTACATACAGCCCGTGTCAGAATCACAAGAACCCGTTCATGGTCCAGCCGACTGTTATTCCTAGTGCACAGAGGATCACTACAAGCTTGGTATCAAACTCGACGTCACTGAAGTCGAACTGGTTGAACGAAAGACCTCGTGACGATTGGACAAAATCTAAATGGACAACATTACATCTCTGACATCCTAGAGAGGGTTGTTGTACCACATTTCGATGACCATCCCCAGTTTTCCCCATGCTTCCTTCTGAAGCTACAGTTTCTAGAGGGTCAATTTATCTAGATGTTAGTTATACTGGGGTTTGGACCAGTTCCTGTGCTATAATGGTTAATGGTATCATATTGATACTATGAAAAATACGGAGTGTTGCGATACTTTTTTCCCATTCGAGGATGCGTGTATAAACTGACATAAATGTTAATGCACATAATAAGTTTTAGCTGTGAGGTATTAAACGATATACACAACTCTTTGCTAATAAAATGCTCCGTTTCCTTTCAGGTCTAAGGCAGGGTTAGAGATCTTCTATTATTTAATAATTCAGTCTTATTTCAAATATGTCGATTTGTGAATTTGGAAATTGTTAACTTACAAATTTATGTATATTTTTTTTGTTAAGTTAGATTTAAAATATGTACATAATACGTTCTTGTCGTCAATATCCGTAAACAGAAATAGACCTTCATCAGTCTCCTGTTGTCTCAACCTTGGAATAGAGGAAGTCGTTTCCGTCCGTTGAGTAGTAGTTCCAAGTGGGAGGATGTGTTATTTCAGTAAAGTTCTGAAATGTCATACACATTGGAGTAAAAACCCTTTCCACATCCATAAACGATTACTGCTAATAGCGAGTCGATTGTACAGTTCAGACTATATCACGAACGTGTAGTTATGAATCATTCTTTTTCACAGCGTTTTAAATCAATTATTAACGACTATAGTATTTTAAACAACTTGTATAAACTATTAGGTCGTGATCTGAGTAACGTTGTGGTGTTTTTTGAGAATTCTAGTTTATCATGTGTCATTTTTTTACAATAACTGATGATACATCTTTTTCAAAGGAACAATGTTTCGAAAAATGTCATTAACATAACCAACCAGGCTTTATGAGCTTGAAATAGTGAGAGGAGCAAGTGTATGCTATCAAAGGTACAAAAAGGTACTAAAAGTGATGATTAACGTGTGAGCGGAAAACGATCTTGTAAAACGGAAACTAGGGTATCTTAAGTTAAAAACTAGGTCACCACCTCAACGCCTTGTCAGTCACGTCCGCGACATTCACAAGTGTATAAAATATGTCGATACAACATGAATTCTACATAACTATCTTGGTTCATTCGGATGCAGACTTCTTCATCTATGAACGAATGAATATTGCGTTACGCCGCACCAACTTCATCGTGTGAGCATTCATATCTAATGTGAGGGTGTCTAACAATAACTGTGGAGGTAGGTCAAGGTCGTAGAATTACAGATAAAATATAAACACCTCACTTATCACCGACCGTATTACTACTGTGTTAATACTGGTCTCATCGTCGCATCGCGGCATTTACCCTGCGGCATCTGAGGATTCAACATGACTACGACAACGACGACTGTGACCCGCTACCCTGGGGACTGTGACGAAGCCTACCCCGAGGTTTTCACCGTTCCTCCACCCCAGCCAACTGAAGCAAAGCCAGGGCAACTGACAAAGGCTCAAGTTGATCATTATTTCGAAAAGGTGATTGTTTTAATTATTTCATAAAAACTTCACAACGCAAATATTCTAGTTATTCAGTGTATGAAATATTCTTGAAGATGGCAAGTTATTCTTGATACAAAAATACTACACATGCAGGTAACTATCAACGTACTTTTGTTTGTAGCAAGTGTTTTAAAAGAAAGAAAATCAGCCTTATGGTGAAAATGTGTTCTATCAAATGTGTACATTTACATGAAAAGAAATAGAAAATTGATATGGTGCAGCTTTGCATACAACATGTGAAGACATAACTATTGATGCATATGGTAGAGATTCGAGGATGCGTTCACTCGTCAGGGCAATTTCGAGTTCCCAGATATGTACACTGTCTAAGCCCTTTCATTGTGTTTGTACGTATATCTGTACTATACATCTCTGCCTTAATCATGCGGTGCCCTTTTGGACAAAGTATGGATAATTTGACCATCATCGTCTCTAATTTTTTCCCACGACGATATGTGGCACAATTGTTACCCGTTGACACTGCCGATGGAATCAGATAAGTGTGAGTTATGATGATCCATTGTGTTGTGTTCCAGGGCTACTTGATAGTGGAGAAGTTCTTCTCCAAGGAGGAACTGGATCCTTGCAGAGAAGCCATAGAAGAGCTAGTTGAGGACCTCGCTCAAAAGCTGTACAAAGGAGGAAAGATAAAAAGTATGCAATTTCTTTAGAGGAAACGTGTGAATTTAATATGTTCCTGTGCACAATGTCTGCTTCACAAGTGCATGACATGTCTACATCACTGTTTCATACGTAGCCCCACAGGTAGTACACCGATGGTATGTAATTTCAGATTTGAACGAGGACAAGGTTTGTTCGATAGCCTCTCCGCTGAGAACAATAGAATTTCGTCTAGCTCGTAATCTGACTACAAAGTTAATGTTCAACAATATGATCTATGCTTTCTGTCTCAGCCCACAATAATTTCATGATCAAGCATATACTATGTATCTTTTCAGATTTATACAAGGACAAAGGATTGTTCGAGCGCTTGTCGTTTATTGAGAAAGAGTTTCCCGGTGCCAACATACTCTTACACAAAGCAGGCATTCTGCCTCCGGTAGGTAGATAAATATTACTTAAACAACTCTTGGTTGATAAGTTCTTTTCAGTTTGACTATTATGCTCTTCATTATATGTCTACATTGTGTTTATTTTTCTTTCGAACAACAGGCCTTCCGTGCAGTGTGGAGCAATGAACGACTCTTGAATTTGGCTGAACAACTGATTGGACCAAAAATTGCCGGACATCCAGTTTGGAATCTGCGGACTAAAACACCTAAGAACAACGCAACTACTGTCCCGTGGCATCAAGGTAAATAGCGGCTTCATTTCAGTATGTTGTGACTTTACATCTTATAATTACCCGGAGCTCGCTTCTACTTTATTTAACAAATATTGGTTCAGATCGTTGTAATATATTAGTGGTATTTGTTTCATTTAAGATTCTGGTTACCTTGACAACGAGTCTTACAAAGTCCTGCAACCAACGGCTTGGATTCCGCTTTTAGATGCCAATGAAAAAAATGGATGCATGGAGGTGAGTATCGGAACCTAATCCTAAATATTTTGCGAATCACTACCAGGATACAGGACATGTGATAAACCTTTCGGGGTGCGCTTGTCCAAATCCCCCAGTCAACAGACTATATACAATGGTATAGCTGAAGTATTGTTTCAATCTGATTTGGTCACTAACTCATTGTCGACAAGTCCCCTTTGTTATGCCAGAAACCTATGATTGTGTGTTCAAATTTCAGTTTGTCCTGTTTGTGTTTAGAGGTTTTTCAGCACCTCACACGATTTCGTGGGTTTTATCAAAATTGTAAACACCCAAGGCGTCGGGATGTCGTCGAAACTTGAACAATAGACACGCCGTGATGTGATTGGAATACTGTTAAAACCCAGCTCCCTCACTCATACCATCTGGGCCATTGCATCATACATATCATTGACTGTATGGTGTAATTCAACGCTCTCCGTCCACAGGTCGTATCCGGTGGTCACCGACCAGGTCGCATCTGCCGTCACACCTGCTGCTGGGCAGACACGTGGTATGTGGAACTTGCAGAAGAGGAGATGGTCAAGACTCTGGGTAAGATATGAATCTCATTCTTACTGAATAATTATTTAGTGCATTTTGAGCAAATCACTTCTTTGCATTTTAAAGAAATACATTTTCAGTGCTTGACCGTTGTTAAATGAATTGGACATACATGTATACATAACCTCATTACCTCTAGCCCTTTACCAAGTGCGAAATCGGGTCAACCTTTCCTTTACAATGTCACAATGAGACCATACCTGCTATGGTTGGTTTATATAAAGTGGATATTGAATGGTTTTTCATTAATCAAAACGGTTTTAAATTACCAGGTAGGTAAATGCTTCAGGATAATTGTGTGGAGAAGACAGATAGCAAACATAAACCCCAAATTAGACAAGCAAAATTCCCGTTGTATTCACATCGATGTAACAACACTTTATAATTTCAGTTGAGTTTGTGTAATGCCGAATTGTTAATTCGTGGTGATCGGGCATCAGCTGAGGTTAGGTGAAGTTGATCTAAGACTCTGCTCTATTGTTCCAGGTGTGGATCTGGACAAAGACATTAAGCTCTGTCCAATTCCCTATGGCGGGATGCTTCTAATCAACAACATGATCCCACACAGAAGGTAATACAGTACCTACACAAGTAACGCACTATATAATCACATCACAATACATATGGACACATGTATTATACATGAATTTACCTTTATAACACAATAAACGTACTTGCTTAGTTTATATAATTATGAAATACATTGTATGTATCTATTCAGTCTGTCGAACGTTTCCAACGACATCCGATGGAGCTTGGACCTCCGTTGGCAGGATCCTGCTAAACCTGTCGGCTTCTACGGCCTGAAGGAGGCAATCTTGATGAGAGATCCATCCCAACCGAACTACAAGATTGACTGGAGCCCATTTATATCTGTGGACAGACACGTGGCCGCCGAAGAAGCCTTGAACGAAAAGACAGATGAGGTATTGTTTAGTTAGTCTACTGTGAATAAGCCAAAGAGGGAATGAGTAAATATCACTTATATAGTTGTCGATAGTAAAACAAGGATAGTGGCGGTTATTATTCAAAGAAACGTGGAAACATAGTAAACATAGGGTGAAGGTGGAAAAATAGTAAACATAGGGTGAAGGTGGAAACATAGTAAACATAGGGTGAAGGTGGAAACATAGTATACAAAGAGGTAAAGGTGGAAACAGTAAACATAGAGGTAAAGGTGGAAACATAGTAAACATAGAGGTGAACGTGGAAACATAGTAAACATACAAGTGAAGGTGGAAACATAGTAAACATACAATCTAAGTAGGAAACATGTTTAACATACAAGGGAAGGTGGAAACATGGTTAGTAAACATACATGGGCTCATGGCAGCAATATCCCAGAAGGATACAGAGCCATTTATACATGTATATACGAGCAGGTGAAAATGTAACATATCGCCAACAAGGAACATATGTTTTGAATCCAAGAACTAACAAAATGTATAATGAATTTAATCACATTTTAAGCAAAAATAATTTATATTTAATTGTAACCTTATCAAGTAATTAGCTTTGTCAGTTTTTTATCAGTTGGTTATTGTATCGTCCCATGACACATTGCATGAGATATCTTATCTTCTCAAGCTGAAGAGTACCCACATGACTCATGATTCTAAACCCCGATAAAAGGATCTTATGTCGTAAAGTACTGTATTCTAAGTTCCAGTCATCTGACCTGTCATGAAACAATCTTATCTAAAGGGTCTCTCAGGCAACACAAGTTCAGTTTGTTGGTTTGTTGTCTTACTCAGCAATATTCCAGCTATATGGCGGCGGTCTGTAAATAATCAGGTTTGTACCAGACAATCCAGTTATCAACAGCATGAGCATCGATCTACGGAATTGGGGTACGATGACATGTGTCAACCAAGTCAGCGAGCCTGACCACCCGATCCCGTTAGTCGCCTCTTAGGACAAGCATTGATTTCTGAAGACCAATTCTAACCCGGATCTTCACTGGGATAATTTAAGGTGTAGAATCTTGGAATATAAATACACCCCTGACACGTGAATAGTGAAGCTTATGTGGACAATAGTGTAAGGAATAACTACTAAGGACATATGAGGGTAGTAATCGTAGATAAGTTGGCACTCTGGGAGCGTCATGGTATAGATTTATATTGACCCCATGTGTTGCAGGAGGGTGCATTCGAGACAACTATCCAAGGCCCCCATATGGAGAAATGGGAAATGACCCACGAGAACCGACACACTGCCAAACTTGTGAAAGGGAAGGCTTACAGCAGCTGGCATAAGGCGTGACGTGGATGATGACGTAATCCGTGACGTCATGCTCAACCTATGTTTCATATTACCGCTTGATGAGGATTGTTTAGTTATAATTGTGAAGCAGATACATATATATGATAAAAATATGTGACTGTCGAAATGATTATGCGAAACAAAATGTTTCTGTCATCATCTGCACTGTGGTATTTCCTGCAGTGGAAGGAAACGTATCCGCCTACAGAGTTAACATTTCAACATGACTTCTACAGTGATGGCACACACTGTGTCGTCATTATAAATGACGTAGACAATGGTGTGTGTGTCAACAATGGGGCAGCGTCATCAAGGTTGCAGCGTGCTTAAAATAGTTATTACCATGTGTGCCTTGTTTTAATTACATCAATTTGCTTCTATTGAACCATATGGGTAATAAACAGATATTATTTACTTTTCACCAGTTGTTTGTGTTATATTCACATTTAGATAAGTTATGATCGTGGGTTCGAGTCCCAGTTGGTCATGATTATGTTTCTAGGTGTATCAACACCATTCCTATTGGGTCATGATCTGAGTAAAGTTCTGATGTTACTGGTAATTCTAGTTTATCATGTGTCATTTTCTGACATACATAACTGATGATACATTTTTCAAAGGTACAATGTTTCGAAAAATTATTAACACACCCAACCAGGATTTATGAGCTTGAAATAGCGAGAGGAGCAAGTGTATGCTATCAAAGGTACAAAAAGGTACTAAAAGTGATGATTAACGTGTGAGCGGAAAACGATCTTGTAAAACGGAAACTAGGGTATCTTAAGTTTAAATTAAAAAGTAGCATTTAAAGTGAGCATTCATATCTAATGCGAGCGGTGTCAGTAACTGTAGACTTAGGGCAAGGTCGTAGAATTACAGATAAAATATAAACACCTCGCTTATCACCGGCCGTACTACTACTGTGTTAATACTGGTCTCATCGTCGCATTGCGGCATTTACCCTGCGGCATCTGAGGATCCAACATGACTACGACAACGACGACTGTGACCCGCTATCCTGGGGACTGTGACGAAGCCTACCCCGAGGTTTTCACCGTTCCTCCACCCCAGCCAACTGAAGCAAAGCCAGGGCAACTGACAAAAGCTCAAGTTGATCATTATTTCGAAAAGGTTATTTTTTAAAAGCTTAATTCGCAACACAAATATTCAGTGTAAGAAGTACTTGTGAAGATCAGTTATCAAGTTATGTTTGATACAAAAATCCAACAAATATGGTACCTGTCAACGTACTTTTGCTCATAGCAAGTGTTTTAAAAGTAAGAAATGAGCCTTAAGGTGAAAATATGTTCTATTAAATGTGTACATTTAAAAGAAATTAATAGAAAATTGACATGTGCAGGTTTGCATACAACATATTGATCCATATGGTAGAGATTCGAGGATGTGTTCACTCGCCAGGGCAATTTCAAGTTCCCAGATATGTACACTGTCTAAACCCATCCATTGTGTTTGTACATATATCTGTACTATACATTCTGCCTTAATCATGCGGTGCCGTTTTTGACGAAATATGCATAATTTAACCGTGATCAGATATGATCGGATTACGATCTCTAATGTTTTCTACAATGATATGTGCACACTTGTTACTTGTTGAAATTATCACTGTCGATGGAATAAAAATAAATGACTTATGATGATTCATTGTGTTGTGTTCCAGGGTTATCTGGTAGTGGAGAAGTTCTTCTCCAAGGAGGAACTGGACCCTTGCAGAGAAGCCATAGAAGAGCTTATTGAGGACCTCGCTCAGAAGCTGTACAAAGGAGGAAAGATAAAAAGTATGCTATTTCCTTAGAGGAAACGTGTGAATTTACAATGTTCCTGTGCACAATGTCTGTTTCGCAAGTACATGACATGTCTACATCACTGTTTCATACGCAAGCCCACAGGTGATGGTATGTAATTTCAGATTTGAACGAGGACAAGGCTTGTTCGAGCACGTTTCCGCTGGGAACAATAGAATTTGGTTTAGCTCGTAATCTGACTACAAAGTTAATGTTCAACAATGTGATCGATGCTTTCTGTCTAAACCCACAATTATTTCATGTTCAATCATGTATGTATCTTTTCAGATTTATACAAGGACAAAGGATTGTTCGAGCGCTTGTCGTTTATTGAGAAAGAGTTTCCCGGTGCCAACATACTCTTACACAAAGCAGGCATTCTGCCTCCGGTAGGTAGATAAATATTACTTAAACACCTCTTGGGTGATAGGTTCTTTTCAGTTTGACTATTAGACTATTCCCTATATGTCTACAATGTGTATATTCTTTCGAACCACAGGCCTTCCGTGCTCTTTGGGGCAATGAACGACTATTGAATTTGGTTGAACAACTGATTGGGCCTAAAATTGCCGGACATCCTGTGTGGAACCTGAGGCCTAAAACACCTAAGAACACCGCCAGTACCGTCCCGTGGCATCAAGGTAGATGGCGGCTTCATTTCTGTATGTAGTGACCTCACACCTTATAATTACAGGAAGTTTGCTACTACTTCCTTTAGCAAATTTTGGCTCAGATCGTTGTAATAATGTTGACGATCTGGTATAAGTGGCATTTTGAGTTACCCCTGGGGCAATTGGACCAACTTTGCTCGGACAATTTGTAGCGGGGGCAATTCGACTGGCAATCGGACTTGATTTAATTTATGTTAAAAAATACCACTGATTTAAGTTGTAACAGGTAATTATGGAGTATAAATGAATCTCGTGGGTACTTCTTCCTTCCTCAGCCTAGCTTTGGGATTTTCATACCCCATGTGTGCATGTCTCTTTCATATGCGTCCAACTCGAAATGATCGGAGCATTTTTCCTGCCTAAATCTGTCTCTTTACTTGGAAAACGGAAGAAATGGCATCTCTTTCCATTGTTCGATTACTCCGTGCATCCCCAGGCAGCGGAATACACCATCGTACCATTTACAAAAATGGCAGAAACAACACGATTTGTATTACTGTAGCGCTTGTTCTTTGGCAATATGGCGGACGTTAGTCACATATGACGTCACGAGCGGAAAGGCCACGTGAGTTCCAGCGGAATATGCATAATGGCCGAAGCTCAGATAACAGAAACTGTTTTCGGGATAAAAACATAATAAACCATATTTTTGAAACAAAAATTGGGGTACATGTTTCTGATGACTCTACCTTTCACACAGCAGATTATTGCAATTGTCTAGTATTCTCCTTTTAAGATTGTGGTTACCTTGACAACGAGTCTTACAAAGTCCTGCAACCAACGGCTTGGATTCCGCTTTTAGATGCCAATGAAAAAAATGGATGTATGGAGGTGGGTATCGGAACCTAAGGCTGAATATTTGTATTTAGTCTATTATTATATGGTATCATCTCAAACGTATCAATGCCCGAATACATAAAATCTGATAACGTATCAGGGTGCGCTTGTCATGTGTCCAAATTTCCCAGCTACCTTCAGTCAATAAGCAGACTGTCTGTGTTCTCTGGTTTAACTGAAACAAGACCGTTGAACTGTCCAGACATCAATTTGATACGACGTGGTGTTGCTGAAATGTTGTTTCACTCTGATTTGGTCACTAACTCATTGTAGGTTCGATTCTCAGCTTGTCCTGATTATGTTTAGATGTTTGTCAGACCTAACCTGTGACTTTTATCAAAACCCTAAGACATGCATCATTTTGGAATATCGGAAATTGCACTGAGACGCCGTGGTGTGATTGGAATACCGTAAAAATCGGCCTTAAGCCCAACGCCCTCACTCATACCATCTGGGCCATTGCATCATACATATCATTGACTGTATGGTGTAACTCAACGCTCTCTGTCCACAGGTCGTATCCGGTGGCCACCGACCAGGTCGTATCTGCCGTCACACCTGCTGCTGGGCAGACACGTGGTATGTGGAACTTGCAGAAGAGGAGATGGTCAAGACTCTGGGTAAGATATGAATCTCATTCTTACTGAATAATTATTTAGTGCATTTTGAGCAAATCACTACTTTGCATTTTAAAGAAATACATTTTCAGTGCTTGACCGTTGTAAAATGAATTGGACATACATGTATACATAACCTCATTACCTCTAGCCCTTTACCAAGTGCGAAATCGGGTCCAACCTTTCCTTCACAATGTCACAATGAGACCATACCTGCTGTGGCTGGTTTATATAAAGTGCATATTGGATGTGTTTCTCTTTACTCAAAACGGTTTTAGAGTACCACCTAGGTAAATGCTTAAGGGTAATTGTGTGGAGAAGACAGATAGCAAACATAAACCCCAAATTAGACAAACAGAATTCCCGTTGTAGTCACATCGATGTAACAACACTTTATAATTTCAGTTGAGTTTATGTAATGCCGAATTGTTAATTATGAATTTATGTTGGGCTTTGTGGTGATCGGGCATCAGCTGACGTTAGGTGAGTTAATCTAAGACTCTACTCTGTTGTTCCAGGTGTGGATCTGGACAAAGACATTAAGCTCTGTCCAATTCCCTATGGTGGGATGCTTCTAATCAACAACATGATCCCACACAGAAGGTAATACAGTATCTACAAAAGCAATGCACTATGTAATCACATCACAATACATATGGACACATGCATTATACACCAATTTACCTTTATAACACAATAAACGTATTTGCTTAACTTTATGTAATAATGAAATGCGATGTAACTATATATATCTATTCAGTCTGTCGAACGTTTCCAACGACATCCGATGGAGCTTGGACCTCCGTTGGCAGGACCCTGCTAAACCTGTCGGCTTCTTCGGCCTGAAGGAGGGAATCTTGATGAGAGATCCATCCCAACCGAACTACAAGATTGACTGGAGCCCATTTATATCTGTGGACAGACACGTGGCCGCCGAAGAATCCCTGAACGAAAAGATGGATGAGGTATTGTTCAGTTAGTCTACTGTGAATGAGCCAAAGAAGGAATTAATAGATATTACTTATATAGTTGACGATAGTAAAACAAGGATAGTGGCGGTTATTATTCAAAGAAACGTGGAAACATAGTAAACATAGAGGTGATCGTGGAAACATAGTTAACAAAGAAGTGAAGGTGGAAACATAGTAAACATACAAGTGAAGGTGGAAACATAGTGAATATACAAGTGAATAAGGGAAGACAGCAAACATATCAATGAAGGTGGAAAAATAGTAAACATACAAGTGAAGGTGGAAAGATAGTAAACATACAAGTGAATAAGGGAAGACAGCAAACATATCAATGAAGGTGGAAAAATAGTAAACATACAAGTGAAGGTGGAAACATAGTGAATATACAAGTGAATAAGGGAAGACAGCAAACATATCAATGAAGGTGGAAAAATAGTAAACATACAAGTGAAGGTGGAAACATAGTAACATACAAGTGAAGTCGGAAACATGGTAAATACAGAGGTGAAGGTGGAAACATGGTAAACATACAAGTGAAGGTGGAAACATAGGAAACAGAGAGGTGAAGTAAGAAACATAGTAAACATACACGTGAGGGTGGAAACAGTGAATATACAAGTGAAGTCGGAAACATGGTAAACATACAAGTGAGGTCGGAAACATAGTAACATACAAGTGAAGTCGGAAACATGGTAAACATACAAGTGAAGTCGGAAACATAGTAAACATAGAGGTGAAGGTGGAAACATGGTAAACATACAAGTGAAGGATGGAAACATAGTAAACATACAAGTGAAGTTCGAAACATAGTAAACATACACGTGAGGGTGGAAACATAGTAAACATACAAGTGAAGTCGGAAACATAGTAAACATACATAGTGGAGAAGTAAAAACATGAAGTAAACATGGTAAACATACAAGTGAAGGAGGAAACATAGTAAACATACAAGTGAAGTTCGAAACATAGTAAACATAAACGTGAGGGTGGAAACATAGTAAACATACAAGTGGCTCATGGCAGCAATATCCCAGAAGGATACAGAGCCATTTATACATGTATATACGAGCAGGTGAAAATATAACATATCGCCAACAAGGAACATATGTTTTGAATCCATGAACTAACAAAATGTATAATGAATTTAATCACATTTTTAGCAAAAATAATTTATATTTAATTGTAACCTTATCAAGTAATTAGCTTTGTCAGTTTTGTTTATCAGTTGGTTATTGTATCGTCCCATGACACATTGCATGATAAGATATCTTATCTTCTCAAGCTGAAGAGTACCCACATGACTCATGATTCTAAACCCCGATAAAAGATCTTATGTCGTAAAGTACTTTATTCAAAGTTCCAGTCATCTGACCTGTCATGAAACAATCTTATCTAAAGGGTCGCTCAGGCAACACAAGTTAGGTTGGCTGGTTTGTTGTCTAACTCAGCAATATTCCAAGCATGGGTTGCTGAAGACCAATTCTAACCCGGATCTTCACGGGGATATTCTAGCGGCGCTCTGTAAATAATCAGAACCAGACAATCCAGTGATCAACAGCATCGGCATATACGTTGGTAGTAATCGTAGATACGTTGGCACTGTGCGAACGTCGTGGTATAAGTTGTATATTGACCCCATGTGTTGCAGGAGGATGCATTCGAGACAACTATCCAAGGCCCCCATATGGAGAAATGGGAAATGACCCACGAGAACCGACACACTGCCAAACTTGTGAAAGGGAAGGCTTACAGCAGCTGGCATAAGTCGTGACGTGGAGGATGACGTAATCCGTGACGTCATGCTCAACTCTATGTTTCATATTACCGCTTGATGAGGATGTTTTGTATTAATTGTGAAGCAGATACATATATATGATAAAAATATGTGACTGTCGAAATAATTATACGAAACAAAATGTTTCTGTCATCATTTGCACTGTGGTATTTCCTGCAGTGGAAGGAAACGTATCCGCATACAGAGCTAACATTTCCACATGACTTCTACAGTAATGGCACACACTGTGTCGTCATTATAAATGACGTAGACAATGGTGTGTGTCATATGTCAACAAGGTTGCAGCGTACTTCAAATAGTTATACCACGTGTGCTTTGTTTTATTTACACCAGGTTGCTTCTATTGAACCATATGGGTAATAAACAGATATTTCCTTCTTACCGATTGTTTGTGTCACATTCACATTTAGATAAGTTATGATCGTGGGTTCGAGTCCCAGTTGGTCATGATTGTTTTTCTAGGTTTGTCAACACCTTACCTGGTTTTGTGGGTTTTATAAAAGAGGTAAACGTGTAATGCATGCACCACTTCGAGCCTTCTCCCCACAGAAAGCTGATACGCTGTAACATAACAAGAATGCTGTTCAAGTGAGTGAGTGAGTGAGTTTAGTTTAAGGCCGCACTCAGCAATATTCCAGCTATATGGCGGCGGCCTGTAAATAATCGAGACTGGACCAGACAATCCAGTGATCAACAGCATGAGCATCGATCTGCGCAACTGGGAACCGATGACATATGTCAACCAAGTCAGCGAGCCTGACCACCCGATCTGGTTAGTCGCCTCTTACGACAAGCATTGGTTACTGAAGGTTCATTCTAACCCGGATTTTCACGGGTAGAATGCTGTTCAAAGCGACGTTGAACAAAAGGCTTTGGTTGGTTTGGTTGGTTGTTTAACGCTGCACTCAGCAATATTCCAGCTATATGGCGGCGGGCTGTAAATAACATAGTCTGAACCAGTCAATCCAGTGATCATCAGCATGAGCATCGATCTACGCAACTGGAATACGATAACATGTGTCAACCAAGTCAGCGAGCCTGACCACCCGATACCGTTAGTCGCCTCTTACGACAAGCATGGGTTGCTGAAGACCAATTATAACCCGGACCTTCACGGGTCAAACAAAAGGTGTCTTCTAGCTCACTCATTGTAAATGTGGGGTTCACAACAATCCCCCTAAATGTCTCTGGCGTTCATAGTCAGATTGTTCTTGTTAAGTTTTGTTTTAATTACTGATGTGAATTACGGTATAGATAACGGAGTGACGTTCTTCCATGGAATACAAGGTTCAGCATCTGATTTCAATACATCGAAAAAAGTATTGAAACGAAACATTCCAGATAAATAAAGCAGAGCGGCTATTGATGGCATCCCAAAGATGCACGAGTATATTTGTCCTGTGGTATGTGTTTCGACTTTTGATCAGAGTTAACCTGACCCGATCTCAAAGCGTGTTCAGATCTGACTCTAATGAATTTGAACATCATTCAGGTGTGCTGATTATTTTAAGCCTGTTTCAGATACCTTTTGTTTTACGAGTAAAGATGGGGGAAAAGGTCAATGTTTGGGGTATCAATTTGAGCGCCCAACGACAAATCTGTGGGTGTATTGCAAAAATAAAGTTTGGGCACGAAATTCAAACTCACACACATGTAATCCAGGTACATGCAACAAGCAGTCACACTCTTCTATTAACAATTAGCCGTACTGTACCTGTAACATCGAGGCCTGTAACTACTGCTATTCTCTGTTATATCGCAAACGATACTCAACTTTAAGATGTAATATAGCAGTCATGCTCCACCTGTAACACCTGTCATAAACTACCTGTAACACCTGTCATAAACTACATGTAACACCTGTCATAAACTACCTGTAACACCTGTCATAAACTACATGTAACACCTGTCATAAACTACATGTAACACCTGTCATAAACTACATGTAACACCTGTCATAAACTACCTGTAACACCTGTCATAAACTACATGTAACACCTGTCATAAACTACCTGTAACACCTGTCATAAACTACATGTAACACCTGTCATAAACTACATGTAACACCTGTCACAAACTACCTGTAACACCTGTAATAAACTACCTGTAACACCTGTCATAAACTACATGTAACACCTGTCATAAACTACCTGTAACACCTGTCACAAACTACATGTAACACCTGTCATAAACTACATGTAACACCTGTCATAAACTACATGTAACACCTGTCATAAACTACATGTAACACCTGTCATAAACTACATGTAACACCTGTCATAAACTACATGTAACACCTGTCATAAACTACATGTGTAACACCTGTCATAAACTACCTGTAACACCTGTCATAAACTACATGTAACACCTGTCATAAACTACACCTGTAACACCTGTCATAAACTACATGTAACACCTGTCACAAACTACATGTAACACCTGTCATAAACTACCTGTAACACCTGTCATAAACTACATGTAACACCTGTCATAAACTACCTGTAACACCTGTCATAAACTACATGTAACACCTGTCATAAACTACATGTAACACCTGTCATAAACTACATGTAACACCTGTCATAAACTACATGTAACACCTGTAATAAACTACCTGTAACACCTGTCATAAACTACCTGTAACACCTGTCATAAACTACCTGTAACACCTGTCATAAACTACCTGTAACACCTGTCATAAACTACCTGTAACACCTGTCATAAACTACCTGTAACACCTGTCATAAACTACCTGTAACACCTGTCATAAACTACATGTAACACCTGTCATAAACTAAATGTAACACCTGCCATAAACTACTTGTAACACCTGTCATAATCCACATATAACACCTGTCATACTCAACCTGTAACACAGCTACACCTGTCATAATCCACATGTAACATCAGCAGTACTTAACAATAGTCATTCTGTACCCACACTACTAGCCTTACTATGTTCATAACACGAGCCCTGTTGTACCCACAACCCTGTCGATACTGAACCTTTAAGTTGCCAGTTGCTTCCCTTGGCCGTGCCAGGACATTCTGGGCTCGAACCATTAAATTTTTCTAGCATATACGTGTTTATCGCTTTCAAATTTTAAATGTCTGTGTCTGTGTATATTTGTTTTTCACTTATCATAAAATAAATGGGGTGTCGAATATATACGAACCTCAAAATGTTAAAAAACAAATAAAGAAACGTGAACCACCAAACTTGATCATTACATATTACCCAATTCTTCTTCAAGTATAATACACAACATAACGAAAGCACCGTATTTCTTGATGGTTTGTTCTGAATATGGTAGATTTAAGAAAGCACGCGAGCACATCATGCAATCTCATATAATGTCATGTATCTCCGGGAGTTAACACTTAAAATAGAATGTAAGGTATCTTGAGTTTAAACATAAGATAACGCACAATATGTACATTCACACGCAAGTCCACATACACATATAAAAATGAATTCTATATTTTCCTCTTAGTCCATAAGTGGTAGTACCTCTCTTGTGCTAAAAACGACGACGTACTTCAGATGACTGTGTGTAGTCTGGTGTGATACCGAAAAACAGATCAACTCACAACCACAATCAACTCACAACTACATAGCCATTATCTGGCCACATTGTCGGAACATTTACTGTAAGGAGGAGCTATCATGTCGACGACAACGACGATCCGCTACCCTGGGGATTGTGACGTTGCTTATCCCGAAGTGTTCACTGTTCCCCACCACAGCCAACTCAAACAAAGCCAGGCCAACTCACTAAGGCTCAAGTGGATCATTTCTTTGACAAGGTGAATGTTTTGTGTACTCCGTGTAACATTAACATTCAACAAGATAATTATTCTGCAGGTAATTTCTGTATGAAAAATACAGTCTGTATGGATAAATTAATAAATCTTTAAAAAATAGTTAAAACATTAAAAAACGATTAGTATATAATAACACAGGCTATACGAATAAATTAATACAGGCTAGATCAGTTTCCTGTAAACAATAATTAAAACATTCAAATTCGCTTAGTTTGATTTTCAACTAAACATGATCATTCGTAGTATTTCAATAAGATTCAGTTTGATCAGCTCTTTGATAAGTTGAATTCAACAAAATAATAAACTGTGTCTAAATTAATATTTGTTTGAAGTTGTTTTACAAGTTGGTGAGTCAATAATGAAGCATAAAACTTTATGGATAACAAATTCTTGTTTATTGGGTAGAGTGACGCGTCGATGTAGATTATTTCACCGTTTTCTAGCTAAGATATACGAAGTAAGAATCTACATCGAACCGTGGATGTGTGCCGATGTAAGTGTGCATGCGTGGGCGTTTGCGCACGCACACGTGTGTCACTCCGGTTTTATGTGCTGGCCCACCATCATACAATCAGTCAGTTTAACATGGATACCCATGGCGCCGTGCTCACTCTTAATTTGTGATTAGAAGACACATGCCTGTCAGCAGGCCTGTGAATAGGCAACGGCCACTTTGATATCAGAGTTTTCAACTGATTGCTACCGCTTATGTAACAAAGTTAGCCTGTAGGTAATTATATATAATGTCTCTGATTTCGGTTTTTATACTTCATGATCAACGGAATGTATCTATTGACGCATTGAGTCTTCGATCACACCTTGATGACCTATCTTGTAGTTTTTTACCTCTGCTTCGGCCAAACCGCATGTTGCACATACGCTTTTTGCCTGATTAGCAGCCAGTCTGAACCAGTCACCGACAAAACAGGAACTGGTGCTTACCAACTTCTTTGAGTGGCATCTTCTGAATAAAGAAGTTGTTCATCCATAAAGTTTGTTCCTTATCTGGTGCTTACCACTTATGCCCAACTGTAATATTTCGTCTTGCTGGCGAAACAAATTTCCCCATAATTATCTTGGTAGTTCAAGGCGATCTTTCAGTCACGAACGCATGCTGGCATATTTTCTTCAAGTAATTCCGCGAACACATTAGGTAAGGGGCTGGGAATTGTTCACTGCATGTAGAACTTTTCATAAACACGACTCATGCAATATTTTACATTTTCGTAATTATATGTAGTTGCATTATATGTAAAATTTGAGTTCGCCACAATCTGTCTCACAGTCCCTGAACCACATTATTTCCCCTATTGCCCAGCCCTCCTGCAATGCTGAAGCCCTAGATGAAGCAAGTTCTAGATTTCATCTCACTGGGGCTCCTTTTCAATTCAAATAGGTTTATTTGTTACTATCACAATCATATATATTCAGAGACTTTAGTCTAAATCCGTCACATCGACGGGACCTCAGATATTGTAACGACGATGTTCTCAATATTTTTTTCATGTTTTTTATTCCCAGAATTATGTTTACAGACTTTACCTCAGTAGTACAGTACAGGTAGCTTCTTAGTATGCAAGTACAGTGTTTCTTTGATCTCATTGCCAAATAACATGCTGTTCACAAATATGTGAAAACGGTCAAAACTAAGCATGTATATGAAGTGTTACATGTTTACAGATTTTACCTCGGTAGTACACAGTGCAGTACAAATAGTTTCATTGTACACAAGTACAGTGTTTCCTTTGTCACTCACTCTAACATCATGTTCTCAATATCTTGCTTTACTCCAGGGCTACCTGATAGTGGAGAAGTTCTTCTCAAAGGAGGAACTGGATCCTTGCAGAGAAGCCATAGAGAAGTTAGTTGAGGACCTCGCTCAGAAGTTGTACAGAGGAGGAAAGATTAAAAGTATGTTATTACTACAGAGGAAAACCCCTGTGAATTCAAAATGTTCATATACACATCTAGATATACAAATTTAGTTCAATAACGTTACAAAATAGGTACATGAATATAGGTATGACATGGACACGTCTCTCATTTCAGATTTATACAAGGACAAAGGGTTGTTTGAGCGCTTGTCGTTTATTGAAAAAGAGTTTCCCGGTGCCAATATCATCTTACACAAAGCAGGAACCCTTCCCCCGGTATGTAGATATACAGTCAAATATCTTTGTGTAATCTAATAAAGTTCTTTAAACGTCTTGTCCTGTCGATGAATTGTTCCGTCTGTTGTCAGAATGTCGAAGACTGCTGGCCTTTCATTATTTATCACGCATGTCTCTTACATTATAGGCTTTCCGTGCAGTGTGGAGCAATGAACGACTCTTGAATTTGGTTGAGCAACTGGTTGGACCAAAAATAGCTGGACATCCAGTATGGAACCTGCGGACTAAAACACCCCAGAACAATGCATCTACAGTTCCCTGGCATCAAGGTAAGTGGATGCCTCCTTTAAGTATGCACCATTCTTATAATATTTTGATTTATTGAATAAGGTCAGCCTCGTGGTTGAATCTTTCCCTCGTCACACCAAAGACTCGATTCCCCACATGGGTACATTGTGTGAAGTCTGTAAGTGGTGTTTTACGATGTGAAGGGAATAAATACTCACTAACCTACTTAGTAACTTAAAACAGCCGATATTGTTTCAGATAGGTTTCATTAATTCTGTCCGTGTCATGTCTCGTGATGATAAGTAAGTTGTTTTATTCAGATTGTGGTTACCTTGACAACGAATCTTACAAAGTTCTGCAACCAACGGCTTGGATTCCTCTTTTAGATGCCACTGCTAAAAATGGATGTATGGAGGTGAGTAAGGATATCAATGACGTTACGTATTAAGACAATCGAGTACTTTACGCACTTAATCTGTAAGACGAATTGTCTATACATGTTATAGTTTGAGGTTTAATTAGAAATCTGAAATGCAGTAGTTACAACCCTTGGAATGTCAGTTCAAAACCCGTTCTTTTGAGTTTCACTAAAAACGGTAAAGCTTCGTCATGTAAGATTTTCTCCTACACAGATCCCGTTGTATAAACCGAGATACTCATATTTCGAAACTATAGTAAATGTTATATACTTTTTGAGTCTCTTTTCTCGTTTGATGTTTGTGCTCTGTGCTCGGTAACTAGCGCAAATGTACGAATATATGTTATACATTGCAGTATATAGAGAGTAGCATGAGCTTTAAACCAAACTAAAACAAACTTCCTCACAAAAATATAATTAGACAAAGCAGGACCAGTGCACTACAAATGTCATTTACCAGTAATATGAGATTATGATCTTATGTTATGTTCTTCAACTTGAATAAGAGTCCCTGCTTGAGAAAAGGAATCTACATCGACACGTCGGTAATGCAATAAACTAGAGGTTTTCTTATTTCTTCACTTAGTTCTAGCAATTGAACCAAACAGTTTGCATGGGATAATTCAATTCCCAGGTCGTATCCGGTGGTCACCGACCAGGTCGCATCTGCCGTCACACCTGCTGCTGGGCAGACACGTGGTATGTGGAACTTCCAGAAGAGGAGATGGTCAAGACTCTTGGTAAGATGTAAATTCTTATTGCATTTTATTTTGAGTGGATGGGACCTAAGTAATTTAGGCATTACATATGTTCAAGGGTCGTTGAAATATTGTATTTTCTCATCATAAGACATCCATATGTGATATACCATTCACTGTCGAGTACTGTATGTGTGAATACTGTATGTGTGAATACTGTATATTGTATGCATTTACCACATCCTCGATAATCTCCAGGGTATACGTTACGATAAACTTCCCCTATACCCTGGATGCATCTACGGCTCGGCCCGATAATTTTATTACCTCCCTTGGCTGGCTCTGTATCCAATCAGATGTCTACGCTGGGAAGTTGAGCGTACCAATCACAAGGTTTCTATCATAACTCACTTTCGCTTGTTTTATCTAACCGATTAAACATGGCAACACAATTGTTGCAGAGGTATTCTGAAGGAGTTCTTGCATATACTTTTTTAAGGTTTCAGACTTGCCCATTTGTCTGTATGATTTTGCACATCGAGCAAACTCTTAGCGGCTGCGGCCGCTATCTTTGTTATTAACATTGGCAAGTCCGGTTGTAACGGCTTATTTGACTGGTTACTGTGAGAATGCAGAGCCAGCTAAGGAAAAAAAAAAGCCGTAAATGCATCCAGGGTATAGTGGATGTTTATCGGAACGTATACCCTGGAGATTATCGAGGATAATATAAAAGAAATATATATCAACACATATGCGATATTGATATCGTCGATTGGTACTTTGTAGAAATGGTTTAATCGTTTACTTAATACTAATATGGGTGTACAGAGGACTTGTGATGTGATCATAAGATGACCAATAAGCGATGTCCATCTCAGAATTAAATTACATTAAGAATTAAAAATATTCCATTTTCAATACTTGGGTAATATATCACTTATTTATCATGAATTGTTCCAGGTGTGGATCTGGACAAAGATATTGAGCTCTGTCCAGTTCCCTATGGCGGAATGGTTCTAATCAACAACATGATCCCTCACAGAAGGTAATATATAATAAACTGCTTATAGTGTTATTAGAAGAAAGTTAAATGACTTTGTCAACTCCCTACTCATGGTAATCAGGTAATTATAACTGTTCCCCTTTCGTCATGTTCATTCAGTCTGCCGAATGTTTCCAAAGACATCCGGTGGAGCATGGACCTCCGTTGGCAGGATCCAGCTAAACCTGTCGGCTTCTTCGGCTTGAAGGAGGGAATCCTGATGAGGGATCCGTCCAAACCAAACTACAAGATTGACTGGAGCCCATTTGCGGCTGTGGACAGAAATGCCACTTCCAAAGAGGCGTGCAACAAGGACACGGAGGTAGCGTCATGTTGGAGAACTTCAAAGAAGCCAAATAGACCCAAATGATTTTTAATCTCAAACTTTTCAACCAACACTCGTAATTTTTGTGCCAACTATTACTAAGAACAATAAGAGAGTTCCCCTGTTGTATCATTGTCTGATATATTATGATAAAATGATACATTAAAAAGAGGAAACAGTTAATTAAGTATATATCTTAAGGGATATACCCGTAAAAATGAAATTGTGAAATTAATCCAGTAGTATATAAAATGAGCTGATGTATGTTGCAGGAAGATGAGTTGGACACGACGGTCCAGGGTCCACACATGCTGAAGTGGGAGATGACTCACCAGAACCGCCACACGGCCAAAGTGGACAAGGACACTCCCTTCTCTAATTGGCACAAGGCATGACCTGGAACCGGACAGCATAAAAAATGTGTTCTTGCTAATATACATGCATATGTTCATATTAGGCTGACAGATGTTAAAATACAGACATATAATGTTTGCATGTTGAGTTGAGATGTTTATACATGTGGTAATACTGATGTAAGATATTTGCATATTAAGATGAGAGGTTTAGATAAGTGGACACACCGGCGTATAATATTTGCTTATATGGCTAAGAGGCTTACGTATGTGGAAACAGTGATGTAAAATACTTGCATATTAAGTTGAGATCTCACACATGTAGAAATACTGATCATATATGATATTTGAATAATAGAACTGCATGACGTTTTCAGATTGCTATCGGATATAGCTATACAAATTCATGACACGCCTATTTGTAACCTAGCATATTATTGTCAGATGAGATACATACATGCACTGAGAAGGTATATATATATGTGTGTGTGTTCGAAGATGTCTTATTGTGGCCATTCGATGATCATGTAATGAGAAGAGTGAAGCAGGTATTGTCTTGATCAGTTTGAGTTGCTTAAAAATACCACACATTCATCCCAGCAACGATACATTTTGACAAGGTTTGTGATGTTTTGTTTAAATGTACCTTCGATGTGTATACTTTCTTTTGCTCGACATTCTATATCTAAGATTATGCGAGTAATTCTGATTTTATGAACCTACCAAATAAAGAATAACATGTTCTTATTGTCACACTTTTCACTTTCTTCTGGATTCTTTACCCTTTGGGACGATTCAATCTCACCAACAAATATGATATGGAGAAACTGTGTGTTCTATGTGTAAGCTATCAGCATGACACCAGCAGTGATAGGCACATACTTTTACTGGGATATCATTGTGCTAAGTAATGCTGGCACGTATATTAGCACAATACATATACCTCTAGTTCATTACAAAATGTGTACTTTGCCCGAGACGTTATTGACTGGTTTATTCCATCCCATGTATGAACATTTTATGAATCAAACTTTCCTTGTGTGTGTTTTGTGTGTGTGTGTGTTTTGTGTTTTGTGTGTGTGTGTGTGTCTGTGTGTGTGTGTGTGTGTGTGTGTGTGTGTGTCTGTGTGTGTGTGTGTGTGTGTGTGTGTGTGTGTGTGTGTGTGTGTGTGTGTGTGTGTGTCTGTGTGTGTGTGTGTTAAATGTTGGTTTGTTTTGTTGTTAAAATTCAAGATGAGGTCTTCATCTGTCTTAGATTTGTTATGCTGGCTTCGTTTTCACAAGTATGAAAAACATGTGGACACAAATACGATCAAACCAAATTCCAAACGAAATAACCAAATACTTGTGAAGCATACCACTACATCTACAATGACGCAAGCATTCATAGTTTGGTCTGTCACCAAACCAACCAGACAGCCAGCCAACCCATCAACCAAACAACCAATCAAAACTAAAGTCACTCACTCACTCCCACATGTCTACTCGTGTCAGTGACAAGGTCACATGTGAGTTGCTTCTAAACAGAGAGAGGGCTGTTCGATCTACCAAACATTGGTCGGTCGTCCTACTACATTTAATGAGAAAATAATTGGATGACTTTGAGGAAAGAGAGAAAGGTTTTATTGTTAACAGTGCTAGCGTATAGTCCTCACGAATGTATACTAACCAGCTATATAAATTAGGAACATGATTCGGCCCGATTAGGATCCATGATCAACACTATAACCGCACTTCCTTGAAACATTGTTACACCGAGGATGGTCAGTTTGATCAGTTGCACATCCCTTCACCCAACATACAACGGACTTTTCACCCAACTCACTCTTGTACAATGACACGTGGACCTTTAAGCTTGTTACATCTAAGATTATAGATAATTTTTAAAAAAAAGTTGTAACGCAATAATTGTTAAATACTGGATAATAATACGTTGCCCAAACGTGTTTAGGGATTAAACATTTGCATACATTTTGCTTAATTCTTTGTTCTGATATTTCGTATCATAGAATAAAAAAGGGGATTCTAATCTCGAAGTCTGACCTGTTTTGGCAAGATAGTAGTGTACCATATTCACCGAAAAATCCTATGTTATCTTGTGTCGTAAAGTTGGTTATACCGCTTTTCGACCTACGTACGTAGACAGGCGTTTATATTCACATGCGTGTCCAGTCGATTTCTTCGAGGATAAATAATTCTACAGGGGTGCAATCGGTTTAAGGACGTAAAAATACACATACACAATCAACACTTCATCAACGGCAGACACACACCGGCTTTACTGAGGGGGGTGGTGACGAAGCTTACCCCGAACCTTTCACTGTTCACTCACACCAGCCTACCGAAGCCCAGCCCAGCAAAACTCTGTACGGCTCAAGTGTGTTTTTAATGTATAATGTACTTGACACGGTTCAGGCCAGACAATATTGATTTATTTGTTTTGCGGACGAGTTTACCCAACTTTTGTAGAAAGTGTGAAAAAATATAAGAAAGAGCAATGTTTGTGTAAAATTTATGTGTATTCAAGAAAACATTTTCATTTTAACAGTTCTTTCAGGAAGTTAAAATGAAACCAGCCAGTCAAGTTGTTTTAAGTTACCCTTGTATCTCTTAGTATGTTCATATGGAAATTTTGCGAAGTAGTTGAAAAAGTCTTCCTCTGTATACTCCATACATGTATCTAATATAGTATGATAATATAGTACTGTGTAAGTTTATATATCTGTATCGTGTTTATAGTTCAGTGCACCTAACAGTAGATCGAGGATTCACATTTGCCGCAATTCATCCTTTTTCTTGTTTGCCTTAAAGTACTTTAGTGGTTTTTCCCCGAGAGAGGAAAGACCCGTGTCATCCCATAACGAGTGCCTGGCGTCTTGTATTTAGGGGATAATGAGGAATGGTCGGCTTAGTGTAAGGTGTCCAAATAGATTAGCACTACAGAACAGGTATTAGAGCGAACACGCAAATGCAATTTGCTCAAGTTGAATTTATACGGAGTCTATTTAAAATTTAAAATATTCACGACAACATGACCATAAGCAAATCCACAACAGAATGTCATTCAACACTCTTTAGAATTTACCTCATGATAAGATTAACTTCATCTCGATCAGGGGAAATATCTTGTTTACAGTAAAAGAATTGTTGAAGTCAGTGATGCTCCCATAAAATATAGACCAATTCAACTGCAGCCTCTCTTCTGTTTCCAGTGATTTTGGCTTTGCCATGGAGTTCGCGGTTGTAAATATTGCCACCAAGATGCGTTAACAACTTTTGCAATTAATTCCAATACAAATATTAAACTCAAGATACAAATTATATTATAATAAATTTAGGCCTATCAGATCCAGAGATATAGCTTACCTTGTTCACAACTGCCTGTATTTGTTTACAGTGTTTAGGCGAAAAGTTGGGAGACTGACCTGTGCATACATTTTTGTCTTCTATATAACCAAGGGAGAGAAGATGGATATGTAAGAATTGGAACTTTGTGATATCGTTCAGTAGCTTGCAAAAAAACATGTTAAAGTAATACATTGACACAAAACTAATTAAACATGTATGCTTTAAAGATTGTGATGAAATATTAATGCAGCATACTACTATATACTCACTATCTCTGTTAATGGTCGAGTAGCCTTCGTACGAATAAAAAGACCATGACATGATAGGCAGAAGTTGGAAGAACATATTTCAATACGTTTTTCACCATAGCAAACAAACTAGTTAAGCAATTCTGGTGTGATTATGAAATACTGCAGTCAGTGGCAAAGATATTAGTTATTGGTGCCAAAATGATGAAAATAAAAGGTCAAGTTGAATTAATTTCAAACTGGTAGGAACTTTGAAAATTACGTGTCACAACTGTGTCTATTTCTTGTTGAATATGCGTTCTGACGTTTACTGTGTGCACTCTTGAACCGGAAGCATGACTCGATCTGTATAATCCACACATAAATGAGGGATGATGAACACAGTAAGGGTGGTTTTATAAAATATGTAAATTAACATTACACAAGTATGTACATTAGCACAGTTTACATTTGAAGATAATCTTTTTCTTAGATTACTGACTTCTGTCAGCAAATATCAGCTGTGTTTGAACATATAAAGTTTATACATTGAATTTGCAGCTTATCTGTCGTGATTCTTTTTGTGGTTACCTAGTGTCCGGTGATCAATCTGTTCTTGGATGAAGCATCTCGACCTTCAGTTCAACGATTAAGTTACAAAACCCAGACTAGGTAAAGTGTTGACCAACAACTCTCTCTCTAAGTTAACACAATCGAGACCGTCTTCATGAACAACGATGACACCTTAGAGGAAGTTAGCGTCTCCGAATATATTTGTTTTTCTGTTAAAAATCTCGTTTTTTCTGTTCTCTTTGATACAGGGATGTTTTTTATTTCACAAAATTCACATTTTATTGATTCGAGCTATGTGTAAACGTGTCCTCTAAGCGCCCGGAGGCTGCCCACATGAGATGCTGTCACTCCAAAAATCCACTTGTAAATGATGTGTAAGCCTTGGGTAAATACATATTTGATTTTTTTGTCCTCTTTGTTTCAGCCGGATGTTTTGAGCCGATGGGATCATTCCTTACGTGCTGTGAGCGTTGTAACAATATAATCAATTGAGGTTTTTCGTCATTGCCTGAGGTTTTGGGGTGGCCTAGGGGTTAACCCGTTCGATCGAAACGCTGAAGACCCGGTTCGATACCCCACCCAGGTACATGTAAACCCCATTTGTGATATACTCACCGTGATATTGATTACATATCATAAACATATCTTGTACGATTCCATTGTACGACTCTATCACTGCATGTGTTTATAAATCACCTTTATATTTGCATCCTATATATTTTTACAACTATCGGTCCATTCAGATGGCTTCATTACAATATTTCAAGAAGTTTCCACATACAATCACAATAATTATTTGACCGTAAGTATTGTATTTTAAATGCTGAAAGTATTTCAAATATGTTTTAAGGTTTTGTGTCAGGTACGTATGGTCTGTGAGAGTTATTTAAGCACCCGTGAAATACATTTCATGCCTTTAGCACAACGCCTCTGATCACAGATCCAAATCTATATGAGAACTGTTTCACATTTGCAATCACCATGCCCTATTTGCCCTTACTGTCAATTATAGCATTAATTGTGCCCTCCTTGTGGTTTATTTATGCATGTGAATCGGAATTTCCCCTTGACTTTGCAAAACACATTTTGTCCAAAAGGTTAAACGTTATCTTCAGGTATATCGATGGTCTGATATGTTTCGATTAGAGTCAGATATACAGTTCAACTAATTTATCCGCCTGCACTAGACATATGATATAACAAAACATTGTGAGGTGAGATCGCGTTCGCGATTACTGCACTACAGAGACGTAAAAGGACGTGCGCACGTGTGTGTGTGTTTGTGTGTGTTTGTGTTTGTGTGTGTGTGTGTGCGTACGTGCGTGCGTGCGTGCGTGCGTGCATCAGACAGGGAACAACAGGAACCATCATTTGATGTCTTTTGGCAGGAACCAGCCGGGATCGATCCCCCGACCTCCCGTTCTCCGGACGTAGCTGACATCACTCCTCGGTTGTACAGTCCTTGACATATGCTGGCCGACACTATTCAGAGTGTTTTGTTCATTTTAACCTGACGTCAATAATATCCTAATATCAGTGATACCCCCACAAACAGGGAATCCGACCTCTTGCCATCGTGCCAAGGGAATTAACTCTGCACAGCTAATTGCCTTGCCTAAGACGATGGTACCATAGTGCTCCCTACCAATAACAGGGTGGACACATGGTACTGACGAGAGATTCCGCCATCAATGTAATAATGTTTCGTATAAAGAAACTTTAACTGAAAGAAGGTAACCGTTAGGGAAACGACTATGAAAAAAGTACGTTCCAGCTGTTAAAAGACACAAAAGTAAAAATAAAGTTAAAAAGTACATATAACATTTTTATCCGGTGTTGGGAATAAACTGCATCCTTGTTCATAAAGCACACCAAAAGCATAACATTTGTCGTGTGTATAAACCTTTAGTATTCCCTTAGGAAGGTTACATAATGCAAAATATATTCAAACTCTTTGTAAAATCCTTACTTTCCTTTTAAATCAATAAAGGATGTTTGAAGGATTAGAAATACAATCGGGCGGATTCTATTCCAAGCATCCTAAATATGTACTTGTGCTAAACATGCTAATTGTCTGTTAATGTAATTGTTTGCTTAATCCCTCGACAGCACCGGATAATGGAGCGCGGTATTTGGCCTGGTCAGCTCTCCAAACAGTTGCATTCACTGGTAAATTTGCCACCCAGCTGTTGATTGAAACCATCAACAGCCTACGCCTGTAGGAGCAATCACTTTCTTGCCAATGCATAAACACAACATAATTACAATATTCTATCACATCCGCTGTATATTAGCTATTCATTTCCTGCTTCTTAAAATCATGTGTACGAGTCCTTCAAACAACGAGTTGGATACGCGTTCCGTTTTTGCATTCATATTCCTGTGTGAGAAATGTGTCTGGTTTGAAATTTTTCTGCAACACAATCATTATTTCGCTATTCATTACCCTGATATTTATATGTTTGATTCATTCCATTGTCATGATATCCAAGCACATCGTCCTCTTTAGTATCATGGCCACTGTTAGCATATGTTTTATTTATCATCCTGACCATCTCAGTGACGACATCTTTGAAATACAGTACCGGGCAAAATAATGCATACACTTGTCAACTCTATTTGACTAACACAGGTCTGGGAAAAGGTTCGAAACATATATGTAACCCCCGCATCAAACACACCACCATTGAATAATTATTTTTGGGTTTTAAATTTATAGACAACAGAGTTGTATACAAACTGTTGTTCGGAATTTTCTTAATTTGTAATGTAAGGACATCAGGATTACGTATAGTGAAATTGGTGAATTACAAAATGTATTTAGCACCTTAGATTGGTGTACTTTTCCCTTGTACCTCACCGTGCACTTCCGAGACGGCCTACATGTGTACGCTTAGCAACATTTGTTCCTGAGCACAAACGCAAAAACAAGTTTGTGGATCAGCCTAACCTGAAGCCAAACATGAGTGTTGGCACTCCATGTGATACATTACACATGGAAGATAGTGTTAGAACATTACAATGGAAGTAAAACCCGATCACATCGTGTCCATTGAGATGCAAATAATGCTCCATATCTTTGCTCAATACATCAATTCACTGAGAAATAGCTGATTCCACATGGATGTGGAAATAGACTTTCCACACTGGTAGCTGGCATTTGTGTCGGATAGCTTACAACGTCGATGCTATAATTTCAATTTGAAGGTGCACTGTTTTGTAGTGAATACAATTTAACTAGGACATGTCATATCGCATTTTATTCAAAAACATTCATCAGATGTACAAAACTATTTACAAACAGTATTTACAATGATTGTAATTAAATGCACACTTCCTCAAGAGTTCCTAGTTAAATGATAGACTTAAACAACCGAGTATTCGTAACATTTGCCCGCAAACGTTCAGGTAAATACAATAACAGTAAAAATGAAGGCGCCTTCTGTGGTGTACTGACCTGTATTGAGATGTGAAAAAGCCGGACAGAAACTATGGTAATGGAGATGCTAGGTTGAAACATGGTAAGATGAAAATGGGATTACGCTAATGAAGACAAGTACATACACGAGCTAATACTGTTGTAAACTAAAAAAGGAACATCGCATTATATTAGCATAAACACATTGAAAATGTACAAGCTTTTGAAAGTTGTCACGTTTCACAATATATGCTTGAAAGTTTTAGTGCATATGCCGGATACATCAGATCCACACGGTCACCTCATTCTGTTGGTTTAGGGGAATCCATTTTGGAACTAGTCTGTCACGTGACTAGAACATGAATTCATGCACCCTGGCGACAACATTGACTTAACCAAAACACAGGTGTTTCTGACCACGTTTTGATAAAATGTTGTAGACGTTGTTCATAAATGTGTGCTTTAAACTGGCATATTTGTTGCGCGAACTATATTAATGTGGCAGAATTTGGCGGTAAAATGTGAAATCATGTATCACTACGCACGTCTTCCCCGAAGTAGTGAGAAAAACCGAGTGGACCCGAATAACATGAGTTTACATAAGCTATGTTTCGTGATGCGTGTATATAACAGCAGGTGCGAGGTCTGTAAACCGTATTTAGCAAATTGTAAACAGCCCGATGAATCCAGCAATATGAAAATATATTGATGGATGTGGCAAATGATTAACGTTATGAACACATACAACATGATTTCATGGCACGTCCATAGTCATAAGGACATAAAACAAATATATTCATACACAAGTGAGCAACCATATGTGACAATGTTTGGAAAGGCCAGTTCAGAAATAAACTGTGTACAGTGTAACATGGAATTCAAGTAAATCAAGCGTGTTAACAAAATACCTACAGGTTTCGACAGGTGTGACAATACTTGTGAAGATACAATATGAAGACACACCGGTATGGTCCCACAAGTATCCCCCGCACACATACGTACCAACATCCACCGATTTTTGTACCACAATAAGTTCATTTCTAAACTCAGTCAGGGATACTGTCCATGACTGTACCTGTCCATCACAATGGTAACCATACACACATCATACCAATGTCAGCCAGTTAAATATCACATCACTGTTTAGAAATGAAAGTAGAAATCGTCATTCAGATCTGCTGCAGTGACAATATAATTTGCCGGTAAATGTCTTCGGAAAGTACTCACTGCACTGCAGCGACCATGACTTGGGCAACATTCACTGGCGTCGCCGAGGTCAACGTCGTCGTACCCAGTTGTGGTGGAGTTAAAGTAACAGGATGATGTAAGCCTGGCTGTTTGGCATGCCATACATCATTCCTCCCCATGCGGAATACCCTGGAGCAAAGCCATGAATGAACTTCTTCTGACGGTGACGTCGAATGCAGATGGCAACGGTGACGAACAGGAGAGTTGCAGCCAGACTTCCGGCCACGTAGGTCCACAGGAGGGTGAGAAATGGCGTCTGTGAGTGACGAGAGCGACCCAGTGTCTTTGATTCCTTCTCTGTAATCTCCAACTGACAGTCCCGTCCCAGAGGCACCTCCTCATCCGACAACACAGTCAGACACACCTCATACTCTAACCCTGGCATCAGATCGGCGAAAATGTATCTCTCCGTCTCGAGGGGAACCACGACATCTCTTTCCTCATAGGAATCATTAGTACGCCGGACAACAATTCTGTATCCCCCGACTGTGTGCTTGCTGCTGCAGTTCCACATGGCGGAAAGGACCTTTGACACAGATCCATCAAGTGCAAGGTTCACCTCAGTACCTAGTAGATCAACAGGAAGCATAGGCGAGGGTACAACATCAGTTGCTATGGGAATCATGGGGCGAGTCCATTCGTCCACGGTCCAGTCACATGTCTGATTCTGGGCACGTGGACCGGAACAGGTGAGCTGAGACAGAGCGAGATGACGAAACGGTTTCTTTGCATGTTTGGGAGGGGCAACACATTTCCAGTCACTGACAGATCGCTGGAACTCCTGATAATGCATCTTCAACCAGTTGTGTAGCCAGCCGAGACGACAATCACAGACCAAAGGGTTGAGCCCAAGGCGAATGTCAACAAGACGGTGGAACCCATCAAATGTGCACTTTGATATGATCGATATGTTGTTGTTTTGGAAGTTTATAAACTGGAGTGTCAGCTGCAGACCATCGAATGTGTTGTCGTAAATGTTTGAAAGCCGATTGTTCGAAATATCTATCTTCTCCAGCGACTGCATCTGTTTGAATATTCCTTTCGGTATTTTCTTGATGTTGTTGGAATTCAAATATAACTTTTTCAGACTCGTGAGATTTCTCATAGAAGATAGATCTACATCGGATATACTAGAATTTTGTATACTTAGTTCTTCCAAACTCCGTTCAAGACCCCTGAAGGTGAAAGGCCTAAATCGTTTATACATTTTGACCTTGTTCAGGTAAAGCTGTTTCAAGACGGAATGTTTTGCAAAAGCTCCATTTTCAATTTCCCTGATCGGATTTCCACTCAATTTTAATGTTCTTAAATACTTGCTTGTCCCCGTCAATGAATCTGACTTGATTAGAGCGATCTTATTGTCCTGTAAATCTAAGTCAACAAGCAGCTCGAGTTTCATGAAAGCACCATCGGTCACCTTAGTCAAGTTATTCTTTGCAAGATTTAACTCTCTTAAATTTCGGAGAGACTTAAGCGAATACAAAGCCTTGTTCTTTATCTGGTTCTTTTCCAGTCTAAGAAACTCAAGTGAGTAGTCGAGTGTCTTGAAAGCGTTTCGATCAATGCTGGCTATTGCGTTGGAGAATAAGTCAATATGGCGGAGGTGAAGCAAATGGTCAAATGCGTTACTGCCCAACACCCTGATGTCATTACTGGACAGAATCAACTTCCTAAGGTCATACAGCTTGGATATTTCCCTCAAGTGCTGATACTTGAGATTGTTTCCGGTAAGATCGAGAACCTGCAAGTTCCTCAGAATACCGATACCCCCAGCTTCAATGTCATTGATGCGACACGAGATGAGATGAAGTTCTTTCAGCTGCGTCAATCTGGCAAAGGTATCTCGTCGAAGTTTTGGCACCCGACAACCAACTATTCTGAGCTTCGTTAGTTGGACCAATGGTTCCAGCGCCTTTATTGGAAGACCTTCCATGGCATACACCTGCATGTCTAGTTCTTCAAGAACATTCTCCAGGCCACTAAATGCTCCATCGTCCACCTTGGTTACAATGTTGTCAGTTAAGTCAATAGACTGTATATTCAGCCCTCGAAACGAGTTGTCAGGAAGGAATCGGATGCTGTTTTTGCGCAAAGAGAGTTCTTTGATTCTGCCGTCGAATGACAGGAACTTGGGAAGTTCGGTAAGGTAGAGGTAACGACAGTTTATAACAAGCTCACCATCCCTCGGCTCACACAGGCAGGGGTAAGCTGGGCAGTATACAAACCCATGTTCCCGGGCCACAGACGTTGACACAAGGGCCAGAGCAAGGGACAACACAGCAATCATGACGAGTTCTGGAAGTACAAAGATATTATGAAAATACAGTTAGAATTGGTAACAACAGTTTATAAGAGTCTTCATAAAAATGAGAATAGTTAATCGTTTACTGAAACACCCTTAAAGCACATCTAAACTATTCCTGATATAATTTTCCATTCCTATTGTTAAAGAAAAAAGACTCTTCGGCTCTATATTCTTTGAACGTACCAATCTTCCACATATTCAAAAAGTTCTGATCGACTAAGCCTTTCCTGGTCAACATTAAAATAAGTAAAACACTCCGAAACAAAAGGAGTCAGGGCTATGGAATACATGAAGATAGGTAAAAGAAACAAAGAAACATCGTACAGCTGTAAACTGCTGAAACAAATATATACTCACGATATAGTCACAATTGTACAATCGATTCTGCTTTTAGCAGAGATTTCTTACAGTCGTGGAAAGGGTTTTGTCGCTTCTATTTCGTGTATTTTCAGCATTTCAATTATGACACCATTAGGCTTTCACATTCATCAAATTAATTATTGACAAATAAAATAGTCTAATGCCCGAGAGGTATTCGTAGTCGTATTTCAGTTGTTCAGCTTATCCATAAGTGGATATAGCCAACAATTTTATATAAACAGAAAAAAGAACTGTCAATAATGTGAGGGAACTATACTATGAACAAACCTAATGTCTGTAATAAACTTGCAAAATACGTATTTCTCGCTTTGAAACCCCCCCCCACCCCCACACACACACACACAGACACACACACACACAGACACACATTTTTCAAAGAAAAACTTGTTCTTTAGCAACATCGTGTATAGATTGCATTGTCTTGCCTATACCATATACTGTCGATGTATAGTTTAGTCATGTTTATTCTAGGCGCTGCTGCCAAACAGTCGTTATCATGTTCTGTATCTGTATAATGGGCCGGTGGCCCCTGTACGTAAATAAAAACATCGAAAATATGTGAGACAAAGAGACATGCCTAATAAACAAGGACTTACACAAAATAGTTGGTTAAGATTGATAACATTAATATACTCATGCCAGATATGACCTGCTAACCAAGAAAAGTGTTATGCTTGGTAATGTGTTTTCAAAGACCTTGATATTAAGATGCTAAGGAGGAAATATTTCCCTACTCTTCTCACTAATGAAAATGTCCGTTCTACAAACACCTGTCATTTGGCCAGGCTATAGCTTAAACGTACATTAAAAAGCAATTTAACTTTTATTGGAACGAATATACTGAACACAATTAATGTGTTATGGCAGCGTGTACACATACATCATATATATTAAACGATTATGTATGATTGGGTGTACCCAACGATTTGCAATGATCCAAGAGGACGATTTTATCATCACAGCACAATGACAATTAAAATCGAAAGACAATTGTAATCCAATCATAACACATATTTAATTCAAACACATTCAGTTGACGATTACGTTGAGTGGTTTTGCCTGAAACATATTTCGTAGCATATCTTTCGCGAAATAGATATTACCTCGGAGAACAACAACCAAGATTACATGGTGATGGTGACATTGCGGCTGATGTAACAATCGTCGAACTTTATCCACATATTACCTTGACGTGCTGTAACAAAGTGTCACGGTGGCAAATATTGAGCTTCCCTTCACAATACAAGCTCGCCAGTATTGCACAAGCTCCGCTTGCTTCGAATAAAGCACGTATATCCTGTAAATTGTTGGCAAATGAGTGCATTTCAGAATGCATTCACCATAAATGTTCATTGAAATAACCTTATCACGTGGCTGCTCTTGAAGTCAAGTTAGTCCAATTGGAATCGAATCAGTAACCAGCATTTAATTTGGCACAATGACTGTACACACTAAAACTGATGGTAGAAGGGTAGTTTGGAGAGGATTAATCCAAAGGAATTCAGGGCTGTTGTCCTTTACCTAACTTAAACCAGGTTCTGGCAAGCTATGGCAATGAACCTTGATAGAAGCAGATCTTGTGTGTTCATCTGGCAGTATCTGAGAGGTTCTGTGCCAGGTACTTCACTGAAGACAGAAACATGTCTTTACATAAGTTAAAAATAAAATATATACTAGTTACTTTAAAGAAAACTACTGCTACAGATTGTGAGGACGCTGTATTCCATGTAAATGACATTTAATGACCATTTCATTAACTGACCACGCAAGCAAAACGAGAATTTAATAACACTGAGATAAATGCTATCAGGGGATACCAAGGACAAGCTTCATCTTTTTTTTTCATCTTGTCAACTTTTTTTACGTTCCTTTAATCGCCGTCGACGTTGACGGTTGTCTGATGTGTATTGCCGTTGTTGTCAGATTTAGATTGGGTTTGTCAGAATTAACGATCAATGATGGTAGAAATGGGGAATGATAAAAATGAAAGAACTTGTATGCTATGTAAAGGAGGTATAGAGAATGAAATTCATTTGTATTTTCATGTCCTGCTCTGAATAACCTGTGAATTCTGTATATACCAAAAAAGTACTTAAGTAAACACCTAGAATTTGCATTCTCTTCTTTTATGACCTTCCTTTTACACCTGTCACTATATTTAAAGCATGCAACACTCTTAAGCAATAACGTATTGTATATCAAATGTATGTAATACTGATTGTAAAATTAAATTGTGTTAGTTACTGTATATTTTGTTTGCTCTGTATGTAGGTGTAAAATGCAATAAAATTCTTTTTCTGGAATTGTGTTCACAACAAATGACCTAGTGTTCCTCGAATGTTACTTGAGAGCACAAATCATACCCACTTACTAAACGTTATCAATTCACAAGAAGCCATGACCAATTAACTAATGCCTAACTGGTTTTCTTTGCATTACGCGTTTAATACAACGAAAACAAGTACATTTAATACAGAGCCGACTTGAAAACGTTTGCAGTGAGTATTACATTTCAAAAACAAACAAGCATATGTGCCACTTGAAAGGTCAGATTGTTTAGTCGTCTTGTATTTTGGAAAGTATACAAGGGCCTCCATGTGCATGAAGCAAAACACGCAGTGGTTACCAACTTAATCTTTCGACAGCGTGAAAGCACTGGTTCAGCTGTGTTTGTGAAACGAGAAACATGAATAAGTGTTCAGCTAAATTGGCTGATGAGCATGATCAGAAACAAACATCCACAGTAACTGTATTTGTCATTCAGTCAAAGAAAGCAATTTGCTAAATACGTGTCTTCCTCTCCTCTGCTAATAATTACATAGCTTCACAGTCTCGAAAAAAGCACTTGTGCTATTTTATAAGAAAATCACGAATTGCACTAGACGGCGCAACGATTTTGTGACCTTTTGCAAATTGAAACTAATGATAAGCATTTTCATGAAGGATTATTAGTTGCGTTGAAGGTGGATTAAATACTGCTTGGCCGGGCCAATTCACATTTTACATGCAAAAGTTCATCCGAAAATATATATTAGACATAGTAGTGTCTTGTAAGTAGTTTTACTTACAGTAAGAAATTCAATACAAAATATGGCGAATGTGCATTAATCTCAACAAACAAAGATAATGAAGTAATGTACTTACACATAATTATTTCATCGCGTGTTGTTATCCTACCTACGAGTATTACATACAAGCAAGTAAATAATAAAACATTCTTGCTTTACATGTTAATATATTCATATTAACTGCAAGAGACAAATGGAAACGACAGGAAGTACAAACCAAAAGTAAAAAAGAATAAATTTATTAATTTATGTCATTCCTGGTATCTTTAAATGTGACCCATTGGCAAGTTCTGTTTGGAAAGGAATAACTATTTGTCATGGCTTTTGCTATAGATATAGAGCATAGTATCGACTATCCTCAGAAACAAATTCAAATTGGTGCAAAGGGACAAATAGCCGTGAAAAGTATGTGAATGGATCACTTAAAACAGTGATGACACCAGGTGTTCGCGAAAAGGGTAAGCATGTCCCCATGATTAATTTAGTGCTTCATTTTCATATCAGCTTCTAAGTATACAATTAAGATGCTGTAGTTTCTGTTTATGAAATGTGTTTTAGGGGAGTCATTGCCTTCTGTATGATAATTTATTTCATATCAATGCCAAAATTATATATTCAGTCATTCGGTAAATACTTCTTGGACGATTGTCTTTAAGAATTAGAACTGTTTAGAATAAAAGGCCAGTTTTAAAAAAAGTTATATGGGTATAAAATATATACATAGCTTTAATAAAAATAGTTTTCAAAACAAGACATTTAAAGAAACAAAAAAAGGGCAAAAAGCTCACTGACAACGGTTTGGATGTTTTATTACAAGTAAACTACTGCGCCAATCTAAAAATATCAACTTTGTCAGACCACTCGCGCGATGAGAGCGTTATTTGTTATTTGACAACATTAACAAAATATCCTATATTACTTACACATCACATCAGTGGCTTACTTACCGAATTCGACTACGACCCGCGACTCAATACATGTCGTTCAGTACATGTGTACTCACGCCTGATGTGGAGAGCAGTGTACAGACAGTATCTGAACACCATAAAAGAGTTACCCATACTCATGATATCGTCCTGAGTATATGGAACCAAATAATGGCAAATTGTAAACTAGAAAACTGACACCTGATATTCATTAATACACTGATCCACCATCTTCGTGCTGTACAAATCACGTTCTTCAAATCGTTGTAGTTGCCTACCTTCACGAATATACCTCATTGTTTCGGGTCACCTGGATCTCAAATCATCTCTCTATTGTATCTCTGTGACAGTTAATTGGACCAGGTAGATTACCACTGTTCACCTGCCGGGACACGTCCAAACTGACACCTCTAGGTTACCACATGGGTAAACTACACATGCTTTTTGCCCTTGAAATTGGGGCCAGCATTGTAAAGCACAACAAACTGTGGCATGGTAATCTACGCTGATCTGCTGATGCTACGTCACACACATCTAGAGCTGTCTTCACACCTGACGGATACACGGCAGTGCAGCTGAGACGGTCTGGGATGACGTGGAGATACCATCCAGAGTTTCTGGGATCAGGGAAATCCTCACGTGGCATCAACGTGGGGGAGACAGGACTGGGCACAAAAAACCCTTTCAGCATTGATGGGGGACAGATATACGATTGTTTAAACAACCTGAGCGCTTTATGGGGACGGGATTCGTTCTAAGAAGGAGGATTACAGCAAATCCCGAGGCAAATAATCTGGTGGGCATCTGGAGAGCTGCTGGAG